ACCAAAGAAGATGCATCCTTGCAGTCACGAAAGCTTTAAATCGAAAAATTATCTTCCTTCCTTCCCTTGTCACTCTGGCGCGCGCAACACGACTCTCCCGTACTGTGTATGTGCGTATGTTGAACCTCTTTCGCACCGTACGTAGCCAACCGTGCTTAATGGGGCGGTTCTCTCCGAGTCTCCTCTTCAACAAACCACTGCAGAGGTAAAGATGCAGCCCTGGAAGGGCTTCCCTCGAGAGGGCCTCTCTCTCTCTCTCGAGATCCCATCCATCTCGAGGCTATTTCAGCCGAATATTCAACCTCGGCTCAGGATCCACCGCAAGAGGTAGCAGTAGTCACACGTGTCAATCCCACCACGTCCGATTCGCCAATTGACTCACTCGCATCGTCATCGGAAGCCATGGCTTTTCCACAAAGGGCAGCGCCACCACCTCTCGCTATCTCAGGATGTAAGAATTCACCGAGCACGTGGACAAGAACTGAGTTCGTCGCTCCGTCTCCTCGGTGGAGGTGCTATCGGGCGCCGTTCGGTTGGCACGGCAAACCGATTCGCACGGTTGTGAATGTAGTTCGACATGGTACATACACAGGGTTCCATTCCTTCGCTGCCACTTCGTTATTATTCGTGACCGTCGCCCATCATCCCTTCTTGCCTAATCTGGCGTGAACTCATTTATTTTGTCGGGTGGACAGAGGCGGTGGGGGAGGGGAATTGAATAAATGTGCCCATTGATTCAAAAGCCACACAGGAGAGATCGTACAGGAGGAGGCTTAGACTACAGCGAGCGATGATTACTGCTGTGTGGGTCGGGCCTGGGGGCACCCCCCCCAGTGGCAGCTGCCCCTGTGCGTTAGTCTGCTGCCAGTAGGGAGCGTGCGATGATTACTGCTGTGTGGGTCTAGCCTAGGGGCATCCCCCAGTGGCAGCTGCCCCTGTGCGTTAATCTTCCTCCGGTAGCAATGCACTTTTAATCTCGATGAAAAAACTAATTAGGAGGCCCTCTGGATCGCGAAGTCCTGCAGGGGCTGACCATTCAACGGACAACGGCAGCATTCCTGCGAACACAAAGCGGTGAGCGTCAGTGTCGCTCGCCATCATCTTCTGCTATGCGCGAGCCGCGTTCCCAGCGAGGCGGAGAGAGGGGGGGGGGAGATAATAATGACGGTAATGAGGGGGAGTGGGGAAACGTCCCGGTCAATTCCTCTGCTGGAGCGAGGCTCAGGGAGCCCCGCGTCCTCCCCGCTAATTGGTGTTTTTTGCAGCGTTCGCGAACTGCACGGCAAGAGCAGCGCGACCTCCCCCCCCACCACCACCCCCATTGTGTGTCACGCGGGGCCACGTGCGCGCCGCGCCTCTGACAAAGACAAAGATTCCCCACACCCCCCGTGTAGCCTTTAGCAGGCTGTTGGGACAAGTGCTGTTAAGTGAGAAGGGCATATGAAGGCCGGCACGGTACACGAGGTGGTGGTGGTGGGGGAGGGGGGGGAATACCTCGCCCGGCTGCCTTTGTCTCCCAAGTGGCGATGTTTACACATCGCGCCAGGTACTAATTTGAGGCTGAGACGACCTATGAAGGCCGGCGAGCACCTATGAAGGCCGGCTGTTAGCGAGCACCTCTGAAGGCCGGCACGGCACACGACGGAATGGGTGGCCAACACCACGCCCGGACGCCTTTGTCTCCCCAGTGGCGATGTTTACACATCGCGCCAGGTACTCATCTGAGGTTGAATCGACATAGGGGAGGCCCAGGACCAGGTGCAAGATAATCGTCACTGGAGTGAGCGGGGATCGAACTCGGGTCGCCGGGTTCGTGGCGTAGCCAGCGCGCTAACCATTGCACTGCCGTGCTCTGACACACACAGCAAGAGATGCCCCGATAGCCTCCAAACAGACTTGGGGCAAGTGCAGCTAGCGAGCACCGATAAAGAGCAGAGCGGTAAACACATACACACAGAGGTCAGACGTTTCCTGTAGTTGGCCACCAGGTTTGCACACATCTCAGGAAGGATTTTGTCCCACTCCTCTTTGCAGATATTCTCCAAGTCATTAAGGTTTCGAGGCTGACGTTTGGCAACTCGAACCTTCAGCTCCCTCCACAGATTTTCTATGGGATTAAGGTCTGGAGACTGGCTAGGCCACTCCAGGACCTTAATGTGCTTCTTCTTGAGCCACTCCTTTGTTGCCTTGGCCGTGTGTTTTGGGTCATTGTCATGCTGGAATACCATCCACGACCCATTTTCAATGCCCTGGCTGCGGGAAGGAGGTTCTCACCCAAGATTTGACGGTACATGGCCCCGTCCATCGTCCCTTTGATGCGGTGAAATTTTCCTGTCCCCTTAGCAGAAAAACACCCCAAAAGCATGTTTCCACCTCCATGTTTGACGGTGGGGATGGTGTTCTTGGGGTCATAGGCAGCATTTCTCCTTCTCCAAACACGGCGAGTTGAGTTGATGCCAAGGAGCTCCATTTAGGTCTCATCTGACCACAACACTTTCACCCAGTTGTCCTCTGAATCATTCAGATGTTCATTGGCAAACTTCAGACGGGCATGTATATGTGCTTTCTTGAGCAGGGGGACATTGCGGGTGCTGCAGGATTTCAATCCTTCACGGCGTAGTGTGTTACCAATTGTTTTCTTGGTGACTATGGTCCCAGCTGCCTTGAGATCATTGACAAGATCCTCCCGTGTAGTTCTGGGCTGATTCCTCACCGTTTCCATGATCATTGCAACTCCACGAGGTGAGATCTTGCTTGGAGCCCCAGGCCGAGGGAGATTGACAGTTCTTTTGTGTTTCTTCCATTTGCGAATAATCGCACCAACTGTTGTCACCTTCTCACCAAGCTGCTTGGCAATGGTCTTGTAGCCCATTCCAGCCTTGTGTAGGTCTACAATCTTTTCTCTGACATCCTTGGAGAGCTCTTTGGTCTTGGCCATGGTGGAGAGTTTGGAATCTGATTGATTGTTTCTGTGGACAGGTGTCTTTTATACAGGTAACAAGCTGAGATTAGGAGCACTTCCTTTATGAGTGTGCTCCTAATCTCAGCTCGTTACCTGTATAAAAGACACCTGGGAGCCAGAAATCTTTCTGATTGAGAGGGGGTCAAATACTTATTTCCCTCATTAAAATGCAAATAAATGTATAACATATTTGACATGCGTTTTTCTGGATTTTGTTGTTGTTATTCTGTCTCTCACTGTTCAAATAAACCTACCATTAAAATTATAGACTGATCATTTCTTTGTCAGTGGGCAAACGAACAAAATCAGCAGGGGATCAAATACTTTTTTCCCTCACTGTAGGTGCACACGAAGGGCCCGCGGGAACAAAACGTGTTGTCTTCTTTAGAAACGCAACACATTTGTCAATAACGCTGTCTCGTAGCGGAAACAAATTTATATGGTAGGCGACGTTTCAGGCAATGGGCCACCTTCATAACATAGGGTAGTGACCCATCAGTTATTGTTGTTTTGCTTTGTGCACCACTGGAATACGCAGTGTTTGTTTATTAATTTTATTTCAAGAGACGAATCGCGTGGGCGAGAAATAGAACTGCCCACTCATTGCGCTGTCCAAGTCAAGTTCTCGTCAGCTGTCCTAGTCGATATCTGAGCCTAAACTAAAATATGTATTTTTTATTTTACCAGGTGAGGCACACTGAGTATATAGCTCTTTTTGCGGAAACGACCTGGCCACAAACATCAGCTGAACGAAGTGGCTTATCACGTGGAATTGTATACTTTAAAGGGACGTTTCTAAATTAAATGTATCCTCTTTGGTTTTTTCGGTAAAGTCACATAGAAATACGACGTAATAAAATAACATAATGCTATGCTAATGTATAGTATTAGTATAGTATTATGTTATTTTCTTACGTCTAATTTCTACGTGACTTCACCGAAAAAACCAAAGAGTATCTCCTGCAGTCACGAAAGCACCAAAATCTAGTTTAATTGTATCCTTTAAACGGACGTTTGTAAATTAAATGTATACTGTAAACGTACGTTTCTAAATTAAATTTAAACGTCAGCATCTTCAGGATTGCACGAGCAATCTGCAGTGCGCGCTGTACCGCACGAGCCATTCTAAAGCTTCCTGTTGTTTGGAATTCGGTGAACCGTGCGTACGAACGCCTGGCCACTTTCGCCGTTGAACTTTCGAAGGTAAAGTAAGTCGTTGCTCGCGCCTGATGATTGCTAACCACCTCCCACGTGACGTAGAGAGCGCTCTAAAGTAGAATCTCCCCAACGGTCTGCTCAGGCCAATACGGGGGATCTTCGTATGTTGAGCCTAAACTCGCACCGTACGTAGCCGACCGTGCTCATCGGGAGGTTGCGGGAAATGTGGTGCGCAAGATACCTACGTCGCGCGGAAATATACGTGGCGATCCGCGTATTTTATATAAAACGAAACCGTTTATTTTAATTTTATTTTACCAGGTAGCGCTTTGTTCAGAAGCGACCTGGCCACACATGATAGCTCAACGAAGTGGCTTAAAATGTGGACATTTACAACAGTGGAGGGAAAAACCCGGAGGACGAGGAGAAAAATCCACGCGACCACGGGGAGGGAGACACGCAAACTCCAAATACACAGGCGGGTAGGCTCGGGATTGAACCCACGACGAGGTAGGAACACAAGTTCCTACCAAGTTGGCACCTTGCGCAATTATCCGATTACAAATCCCAACAACACCTGTGGCCATTTACAGAGAGGCCCGGAGGACCGCGCTGCGCCAAATCCTCCCCGCGAGGAGGAGGAGGTGTGAGGAGGTGGCAGTGCCGTCAGGAGCCCAGCCGTGCCGTGCTTGACGTCACGCGGGCAAATCCCCCTCCTCGCGCCGTGTGATGGGATAATCCCCGCAGTGACTGGATGCTGCAGAGCCCCCCACCCCCAACACCTCCCCCCACCACCTTCTACCAAACCAAAAACAAAGCATCCCTCCTCCTCCTCCGCATCCCCCACAACGCACCCCCACAACGCACCCCCACGCCCCGAACTCGTCACAATCACGAGGGCAGGTCCTACAAAGTCGGAGGTCTCCGGAACGAATCTTCCCCCGTCGCGTCACTCTTCCAGCCCAGACGTCCCGTCCGCCTAAAGAGTCCGGTGAGTGTTTCAGTTTTCAGTTGATTTATTTTGGTATAGCTCTGTGAGCCATTCGGCTCTTGAATCGGGTGCAACCACAACAAACAAAAAGACTAAAACACGAACAAGAAAAAAAACATCTTTGTGACTGTGCAAACAGATAACCTCCTGGGCCCAGCCACGTGGTCGCCTCGCAAACAGAGAAACTGAGCAAGAGAGAAAGAGAGCAAGAGAGAGAGAGAGGTGGAGAGAGGAAATCATTTGTCATTTTGGGTGAGAGCGATCACGACAGGTTACTCGTCGTTTTGAACGTCATCAGTGTCATCTTGTGTCGATGATCATTGCATACGTCATCAGTGTCATCTTGTGTCGATGATAATTGCATACGTCATCAGTGTCATCTTGTGTCGATGATAATTGCATACGTCATCAGTGTCATCTTGTATCGATGATCATTGCATACGTCATTAGTGTAATCTTGTGTCGATAATTGCATACGTCATCAGTATCATCTTGTGTCGTTAATTGCATACGTCATCAGTGTCATCTTGTGTCGATGATTATTGCATAAGTCATCAGTGTCATCTTGTGTCGATGATAATTGCATACGTCATCAGTGTCATCTTGTGTTGATTATCATTGCATACGTCATCAGTGTCATCTTGTCGATGATCATTGCATACGTCATCAGTGTCATCTTGTGTCGATGATCATTGCATACGTCATCAGTGTCATCTTATGTCGATGATCATTGCATACGTCATCAATGTCATCTTGTGTCGATGATCATTGCATACATGCCGGTCATTATCACCGTCGTGATCATCAATTACTTGCACACCACGTCAGAGCATCACGATCATTGCCTTTAACGTGTGGGTCGTCGTGTCGTGCATACCTGCACATTGGTATCATCGTGATTGTCATCATCATGATTGTCATCATCATGATTGTTGTCATCATCATGATTGTCGTCATCATCATGATTGTCATCATCACGATTGTCATCATAATCACGATTGTCATCATCATGATTGTTGTCGTCATCATCATGATTGTCATCCCCATCATCATGATTGTCATCATCATCATCACTTCATTTCAACATTCCATCATGAACTTAATCATTGTCGTCATCATCATCATCCTACTCGCATACATGCCTGTCATGCTGATGACCAAAATCATCATCATCATCACAATCATTTGTATACATATGATGATGTATATATGTATGTTGAACTTCTTTCGCACTGTGCAAAGAAAACCGTGCTAATCGGATGTGCGGGGGAAGGACAACAAACTGAACACAAAAAGCAGTCTTAAAGAAACGAGTTTGCAATGTGGATTTTAAAATGACGACCATGATGTACGTTTAACTGTCACAGTCGTCGTCATCATCATCATCATCATCCTAATCGCACACTCAACTATCAAGACCACCATCTGCATCACCGTCATCGCCACCTGGTTCCATACTTCGTGCTCTACCCACGTGCAGGGCTCCACCACCGGGTCGGCAAGCCCCGCGGTTCCGGAATCCGCGGGGCTTGAGCCTCTTTAAAGGGACTGCTTCGTGACAGTTATTCTCACGCGTCGCGGATCTTGAAACATTGAGTTGTTTGTGACCGAATTCGGATGTTTTTGTTTTGTTTTATCTTCACGTTATTGTTGGTTGACAACCTCCTGGGCTATGCGATGAATACCAATGGGCCTTCTGTGAACGCGTGCCAATGAACGAGGGGTCAATCGAAGTACGTATCACGATGGTGCCCCTAACTCGATCCTCTGTGAAAGCATAATTAACGTTAGACAGGAGGGTAACATTGACTTAACGCGTTATTGAAATGCTAAAGAGCGTGCATGCGTATGACAATAAACTAAATTGTGAGGTTTTGCCGGTAGAATGAATAATCGCGTTTTTTTGTTGTTGTTAAATGTCTTGAGACGCGGTGGCATTAATCAGCTTTCATCATCATCAGGTATGGAACAAAAATCTGTACTATTTTGCCGTGCTGTGAATCCAAAACGGTAATACCCTGATTTACGTCTCCCCCGTTTAACGTCGTTTCGCAGACACGCCGTCACTTTATTGTCAATGCCACTCTGCCTGACCTTGCGTCGCCTCGAACCCGCAATTGCGTCGCTGACAGCACCGTCTCTCCGTTTCTCGATTCCGTCGCCTCTCGGACTTCGCCTCCACCACCTCCACCACCTACTACCACGACTACCACGACTACCACTACTACCACGACTACCACTACTATCACTACTACCACTACTACCACGACTACCACGACTACCACTACTACCACGACTACCACTACTATCACTACTACCACGACTATCACTACTACCACGACTACCACTACTACCACTACTACCACGACTACCACGACTACCACTACTACCACGACTACCACTACTATCACTACTACCACTACTACCACTACTACCACGACTACCACTACTACCACGACTACCACGACTACAACCACGACTACCACGACTACCACTACTACCACGACTACCACGACTACCACGACTACCACGACTATCACTACTACCACGACTACCACGACTATCACTACTACCACGACTACCACGACTATCACTACAACCACGACTACCACGACTATCACTACTACCACGACTACCACGACTACCACGACTACAACTACTACCACTACTACCACGACTACCACTACTACCACGACTACCACGACTATCACTACTACCACGACTACCACGACTATCACTACTACCACGACTACCACGACTACCACTACTACCACGACTACCACGACTACCACGACTACAACTACTACCACTACTACCACGACTACCACTACTACCACGACTACCACGACTATCACTACTACCACGACTACCACGACTATCACTACTACCACGACTATCACTACAACCACGACTACCACGACTATCACTACTATCACTACAACCACGACTACCACGACTATCACTACTACCACGACTACCACGACTATCACTACTACCACGACTACCACGACTACCACTACTACCACGACTACCACTACTACCACTACTACTACGACTACCACTACTACCACTACTACCACGACTACTACGACTATCACTACTACAACTACTACCACCACTACCACTACTACCACGATTACCACTACCACTACTACCACGACTACCACTACAACCACTACTACCACGACTATCACTACAACCACTACTACCACGACTATCACTACAACCACTACCACGATCACTACTACCACGACTATCACTACAACCACTACTACCACGACTATCACTACTACCACTACTACCACGACTACCACGACTATCACTACTACCACGACTACCACTACTACCACGACTACCACGACTATCACTACAACCACGACTATCACTACTACCACGACTATCACTACTACCACGACTACCACGACTACAACTACTACCACGACTATCACTACTACCACTACTACCACTACTACCACGACTACCACGACTATCACTACTACCACGACTACCACGACTACCACTACTACCACGACTACCACGACTACAACTACTACCACGACTACCACGACTATCACTACAACCACGACTACAACTACTACCACGACTACCACGACTATCACTACTACCACGACTACCACTACTACCACGACTACCACGACTATCACTACAACCACGACTATCACTACTACCACGACTATCACTACTACCACGACTACCACGACTACAACTACTACCACGACTATCACTACTACCACTACTACCACTACTACCACGACTACCACGACTATCACTACTACCACGACTACCACGACTACCACTACTACCACGACTACCACGACTACAACTACTACCACGACTACCACGACTATCACTACAACCACGACTACAACTACTACCACGACTACCACGACTATCACTACTACCACGACTACCACTACAACCACTACTACCACGACTATCACTACAACCACTACCACGATCACTACTACCACGACTATCACTACAACCACTACTACCACGACTATCACTACTACCACGACTATCACTACTACCACGACTACCACTACTACCACGACTACCACGACTACCACTACAACCACTACTACCACGACTATCACTACTACCACGACTATCACTACTACCACGACTACCACTACAACCACTACTACCACGACTACCACTACAACCACTACTACCACGACTACCACTACTACCACGACTATCACTACTACCACGACTACAACTACTACCACGACTACCACTACTACCACTACTATCACTACTACCACGACTACCACTACAACCACTACTACCACGACTACCACTACAACCACTACTACCACGACTACCACTACTACCACGACTATCACTACTACCACGACTACAACTACTACCACGACTACCACTACTACCACTACTATCACTACTACCACGACTATCACTACTACCACGACTACCACGACTATCACTACTACAACTACTACCACCACTACCACTACTACCACGATTACCACTACCACTACTACCACGACTACCACTACAACCACTACTACCACGACTATCACTACAACCACTACTACCACGACTATCACTACAACCACTACCACGATCACTACTACCACGACTATCACTACAACCACTACTACCACGACTATCACTACTACCACGACTATCACTACTACCACTACTACCACGACTACCACGACTATCACTACTACCACGACTACCACTACTACCACGACTATCACTACAACCACTACTACCACTACTACCACGACTACCACGACTATCACTACTACCACGACTACCACTACTACCACGACTATCACTACAACCACTACTACCACGACTACCACTGGCCCTTTACATCGCTTTTGATTGACGTCGTTTCGATATTCGTCGTCGCACGTTTCAGGAACGCATCCCCGACGTGAACCGGGGTATTGTATTATTACTGCGGCCGCCGCTTGGCAGCTGAAATCGCCAAAAAGACAATTGAGAAATTAGCACCAACAAAAAAGAAATTGGGTTAATCCAACTTACAGGGCCATCGGTTTGTGAGCTCCTGGGGGTATAATTTATGGATGGCGCCATGACACATAATTATTACAACTCGGCCATACGTCATTTGCCAGAGTTAAAACAAAACTAGACTTGAATAAAGTCTTCGCTCGGCTGAAACTTCGACGTCGACAGACTCCCGAACCCTACAATCAGACGTTTACAGGCTTGCGGATGTGTAGATGGAGTAGGGTACAGGCGCAGCCCCTGAAATGTCATGCTCACTCCACTGCTGGGTGAAGGGCCTCCGCTCGAGGCAAGATCGAGATATATAGAGAGAGCGGTAACCAGACGCACAGAGGAGAGATGGAGGGAGAGCGAGGGTGAGGTAACGATACACACAAACACGCAGTAGGGGAGACGGAGTGTGATGGAGAGAGAGAGAGAGCTAGGGAGATGGAGAGAGGGGTAACTTACACACGCAGAGGAGAGATGGGGAGGGAGAGGGACGGGAGAGTTAACTACACACGCGCAAGAGAGGGGAGACGGAGGGAGATGGGGAGGGAGAGGGACGGGAAAGTTAACTACACACACGCAAGAGAGGGGAGACGGAGGGAGATGGGGAGGGAGAGGGACGGGAGAGTTAACTACACACACGCAAGAGAGGGGAGACGGAGGGAGATGGGGAGGGAGAGGGACGGGAAAGTTAACTACACACACGCAAGAGAGGGGACACGGAGGGAGATGGGGAGGGAGAGGGACGGGATAGTTAACTACACACGCGCAAGAGAGGGGAGACGGAGGGAGATGGGGAGGGAGAGGGACGGGAAAGTTAACTACACACACGCAAGAGAGGGGAGACGGAGGGAGATGGGGAGGGAGAGGGACGGGAGAGTTAACTACACACACGCAAGAGAGGGGAGACGGAGGGAGATGGGGAGGGAGAGGGACGGGAAAGTTAACTACACACACGCAAGAGAGGGGACACGGAGGGAGATGGGGAGGGAGAGATGACGGGAGAGTTAACTACACACACGCAAGAGAGGGGACACGGAGGGAGATGGGGAGGGAGAGGGACGGGATAGTTAACTACACACACGCAAGAGAGGGGAGACGGAGGGAGATGGGGAGGGAGAGGGACGGGAAAGTTAACTACGCACACGCAAGAGAGGGGACACGGAGGGAGATGGGGAGGGACGGGCGAGCTAAGCGCAGAGGCGATCAGCAGCCCCCCTCAGAGTGGCGCGCCGTGCCATGTCCCCGGGGTAACCCCAACAACAGCGACTGCGCCGTGCCGCTCAGCTCCGCCCTGCGCGGTTTGTTCCGAATTCCCGCTCCGTCTCCTGGGAACGCGAGCGCGCGCTCTCTCTCTCTGCTCGAGGCGCGCGTCGCCGAGTGCCACCGTAAGCGTTGCGTACGCGCGCAGCTGGGGCGAGGGGTGTCAGCGAGCACCTATTGAGGGTCGCGGCATCCGCTCGAGAGGGTAAGTGGGGGGGGGGGGCGTGACCAGCAGCCCCCGCCCGGCCGCCTTTGTCTCACCAGTGCTGATGTTTATTGGCGCGCCGCGCCAGGTGCTCGTTTCGAGACTGAGTCGACGACGCAGGGAAGATATTGGGACCGACCTGACGTGTTTCGCTACCGATGGTTATAGCCGCGACCGGGAATCGGACTCGAGGCACAGAGACAAAGAGATCGGACAAGGGGGGGGGGGGGGGTGGGCAGACAGAGATGAGACTCGGATAGATATAGACAGAGACATAAGACGCACAGACACTTGAGGCAGGAGGGCATCGAGATGCGGAGGACTAAGAAAGCGACTCAGAGATGGTGACAGGGCCTAATGAGGCCCAGTAAGAGACATCAGAAGCCACTGGAGCTATGCACTTTTTAATCCCGATTGAAAACTCGCTTCTTTAAAACTGCTGTTTGTGTTTCGTCCGTTGTCCTTCCACGGCACCTTCCGATTATCGCGGTTGGCTACGTACGGTGCGAAAGAAGCCCAACATGCATACAGATGTAGACGCAGGAGACAAGGAGGTAGAGAGAGAGAGAGACACACAGGGCGAAGAGAGGCGGTCTTGTTGCGCATGCGATTAAGTCGTCCCCCCTTGCTCCGTGTTTGTCGCAGGCGACCGACTCCTCGCTGCACCTCGCGGCCTCCCGTCGCGCCAGACGACCATGTCCGAGGTGGTGAGTCCCCAGCGTGCGCTCCTGGGGAGGGAGGAGGGCGCGTGGCGTCGCGTTATTCATCTCGACGCGAAACGCGTGGGAGGGAGGCTGGGAGCGCCCGGCCGCCGCGGAGTCTAATTGAAATGTCTCGCGCGCACGTACGGCTGAGTGAGTGTGGGTGTTGTGTTGTGTGGTGTGACTCTGTGTGCCTAGGCGCGCGCGTGCGTGCGCGTGCGTGTCTGTAGGTATTGGGAGCGGTGGTGTAGCGGTTAGCGCGCTGCGCTACGAACCCGGCAACCCGAGTTCGATTCGCGCTCACGGCCACCACCAACACCTGTGGCGATTCTCTGAACCGTTCCTGGGGAAACAAAGTCGGCCGGGGGTGGTGTTCCCCCCCTCCTCCCCTCCACCGTGTGCCGTTCCGGCCTGTATAGGTGCTCGCTATCAGCACTTCCCCCACCAGTCTATACGGGGGGGGGGGGGGATATTTGTCTTTGTGTGTGTGTCTCTGCGTCCCTCTGTGTGTCTTGTTGACGGCTCGCGCGAGGGTACGCACACGGACCTTGTGTATTGGATTCTGTTTATTGGAGACTCTCGCTGTGTGAAAACCGAAACCGCCGGAGCATTTGCTGCTAGGGTAATAAAGGATTCAAAGGTCTGTGTGTCCCTCTGTGTGCGCACGTGTGATGTCTTAGGCTAACTTGTGCGCGCACGCGCGCGCGCGTACGGACTTGATGCGCGCGCGCGTCTGCACAGATGGGTTCGTTCCGAGTCATCTCGGAGGAAGAGCAGACCCTCCGCTCCAAGATGGACCGCCTCACCCCGTGCGACCACGGGCCCGTTTTCGGGCCCTGCAGCAAAATCCCTGCGCACACCCTGCAGAAGGTGACGCAGCAATGCGCCGATCGCGTTCAGGAGTGTAATTCGTCGTGTTAAAACTCAAAAACTCGTGTTATTTTTTTTATTTTAACAGGTAAAGCACCACTGAGCGATGTTGCTCTTTATCAGCGGCGACCTGGCCCACCACAAATGATCAGCTCGACAAAGTGGCTTATCGCGTGGAGATGTATAGCGGCCAAATGCTCTCAACGCGTGGATGTTGATTATTATTATTATAAATGTGGAGGACAAAACCCGGAGGAACAGGAGAAAAATGTCACACGACCACGGGGGAGAGAGACACGCAGACTCCAAATATACAGCAGCAGGCGTCAGGGTTGGGATCGAACTCACGGCCTCGTGTACACCAGGCGAGGTAGTTAACATCTCCTAGCCACCGTGGCGCCCATGGTGGCGTGATTTTGCATCGAGCTCGGGACACATTTCTTACAGAGGAGGGCCCTTGCCTGTAACCATCATGCAGTTCAACCTGGTATTGGTTCAAGTGAGCCCCTGGCTCTGCTGATGAGATACCGAATGCCGAAACCGGTGCAGAGTTTGCTTGTATTGAAGCAATGTTGATGATGAGATGCGCCCATCAGAATGCCTTGCGGCCGATGGGATGTGTGAAATATGCTTACTGCTGATTTTGCTGATGCTGCTGATGCCACCGCTGTTAAAGACGCTGCTCGCGATGATGCTGATGGCGCTTCTTTTTTCCTCTTCTGCTGCTGTTGATGATGGTGATGCTGCTTTTGCTGATGATGCTGCTGAAGATGGTGATGCTGCTGCTAATTGTGGTGGTGGTGATGATGATGATGTTGCTGCTGCTGATGGTGATACTGCTGATGATGATGATTCTGCTGATGATACTGCTGGTGATGATGGTGATGCTGCTGCTGATGGTGGTGATGATTCTGCTGCTGCTCCTACTGATGATGATACTGCTGATGATGATGCTGATGATAGTGCTGGTGATGATGCTGATGATGCTGCTACTGTTGCTGATTATGATACTGCTGCTGCTGATGATGCTGATGGTGCTGCTAATTATGGTGATGATGCCGATGATGCTGCTGCTGATGATGGTGCTGGTAACTATGGTGATGATGCTGATGATGCTGCTGCTGATGATACTGCTGGTGGTGGTGATGACGATTCTGCTGATGATACTGGTGATGATACTGATGATGCTGCTAATGATGATACTGCTGGTGGTGATCGTGCTGATGCTGCTGCTGATGACGACACTGCTGTTGATGATGCTGATGATGCTGCTGCCGCTGATGATGAGGATACTGCTGGTGATGATGATGCTGATGATGATAATGGTGATGATAATGCTGATGATGCTGCTGCTGATGATGACGACACTGCTGTTGATGATGCTGATGATGACGATACTCGACTGGTGATAATTATGATGATGCTGCAGATGATGATACTGGTGATAATGATGCTGCTACTGCTGTTGATGATTGATGATGATGCCGCTGCTGCTGATGATGACGATACTCGACTGGTGATAATGATGATGATGCTGCTGATGATGATACCGATGATGATGACGCTGGTGACGCCGGTACCGTCGGCGCAGGCTCGCGACGAGCTGAACGAGACGGACGAGCTCCGCGGCTCTGCCGTTCAGGAGCTGCGCGAGATGATCATGGAGAGGGCCGACACGGACGATGACTTCTGCATGACCGTGGCGGCAAAGATGCGTGCCAAGGACGACGCCTTCCTCCTGCGCTTCGTGCGCGCACGCAAGTTCGACGTTCCGCGCGCGTACGACCTCGTCAAGGGTACGTGGAGGCACGTGCCCCCTTGCCCACGGTGTATTCCGCGCGGGGACAGGGGGTGGAGGAGGGAGGAAGGGAGTCCTCTGAGAAGCCTCGGCGCAGTGGGCGCTCCGTCATGAAGAAATGTGCTTAATCGAGACAAGACACAAGCATTGTCATCATTATCAGGCAGCCCGGCCAGCGAGAAGCCGGGGACAAAAGCGATAGCAGTGGCCGGGGGGTTGGTGCTGACCACAACACAACGATCCATCTTGCGCAGTGTCAGCCTTAATAGGCGCTCGCTAACAGAGAGAGATAGAGTAATACGGCGCTGTATGTGTGTGTGGGTAGGTAGGTGTTGGCAAAGCGGTGGTGTAGCGGTTAGCGCTGCACTGCGCTACGAACCTGGCGAGCCGAGTTCGGTTCCCGCTCACGGCCAACACCAGTGACGATTATCTGAACCGGTTCCGGACCTTCCCTAGGTCGACTCAGCCTCAAATGAGTACCTGGTGCGGTGTGTAAACATCGCCGCTGGGGAGACAAAGGCGGCCAGGCGTGGTGCTGGCCACCCGTCCCCTCGTGTGCCGCGCAGGCCTTAATAGGTGCTCGCTAACAGCACTTGCCCCAGCAGTCTGTTTGAAGGCTATACGGGGGATCTTTGTCTTTGGTGGCATCTCCACACACCTCTTCGTACCACAATGAGCTGGGCTCGTAATGAGCAACTCTCTAATTACGGAATTGTTGGTGCGACGTGGGGAGGAGTGGGGGGGTGCAGCCGCCCCCCACCTCCCCCCCACCAACTTCCCTCCCCACCTCCCCCCCCCCCTCCCCCCCCCCCACCTCCCCCGCCTACTCTGCCATCTCTGGGGCAGATGCGAGATCCGATTAGAGACGCACGTGGTCTCTTTAACGCACAAAGCCTGACACACGGACATTAGCGATATCAATACACACACACGCAGCACACACGCAGCACACACACACACGCAGCACACACACACACGCAGCACACACTCGCAGCACACACGCAGCACACACACAGCACACACACACACGCAACACACACACACACGCAGCACACACACAAACGCAGCACACACACACACGCAGCACACACACACACGCAGCACACACACATGCAGCACACACACACGCAGCACACACACATGCAGCACACACACGCAGCACACACACACACGCAGCACACACACATGCAGCACACACACGCAGCACACACACACACGCAGCACACACACACACGCAGCACACACACATGCAGCACACACACACACACGCAGCACACACGCAGCACACACACACGCAGCACACACACACATGCAGCACACACACACACAGCAGCACACACACACGCAGCACACACATGAACCTTATGGCGGGACCCCGTCCCGAAGAAACGGAAGTCAAAATGGTAATAAATGTATTTACTTTTGAAGGACTCCGTCCCACCGCGCACATCAACTCCGCGACCCGCCTGGCGCGGACCGTTCTGTTGTCGTGTCGTCCACGCGCAGCGGCGAGGAAACAAAACTTTGATGAGCGCATCGTGCGGAGCTCGTCGAGAGGAATAGATCGCCGTATCGTTCGCCTTTAACAGACATAAAATTACGTCGCAACGAAGTTTATGCGAGAGCTGGGGGCTTATGTGACCCCTGGGTCCCGCCATAAGGTTCATATACCTAGTCTGGCCCTATCCACTGCTGGATGGAGGTCTACCGTGGTCATCTCCAACTGTCTGGCTTCATGCGTTAATCGCTCACGGCAGTGAAGGAATTTTCCCGTGCCCACCCCGACAGCAGAGAGGGGGACAAGGGATATATTTTTCCAGAGCTCAGCCCCGGACAGCTCCGTACGAAATAAGACCCTGATTAAAAAAAAAAAATGTACAATTTGTTTATTTGACCGAGTAAGGTTAGGCACACTGAGCTATATAGTTACTTTATAGAAGCAACCTGGTCACAATTGATAGCTCAACTGAAGTGGCTTATCATGTGGAAATGTACAGCAGCCAAATAATCTGAACGCACGTAGATTCTACATGTGGAAAGAAAAACCGGAGGACCCGTAGAAAAATCCACGTGACCACGGGGTGAGAGAGACACAAATATACAGCGGGCGTTAGGGTCGGGATCGAACCGACGACCTCCCGTATACCAGGCGAGGTAGTTAACATCTCCTAGCCACCGTGATGATGATGATGAGAGAGACACGCAAACTCCAAACAAACAGCAGCAGGCGTCAGGGTCGGGATCGAACCGACGACCTCCTGCGTACCAGGCGAGGTAGTGAACATCTCCTTCCTTGCAATGCCCTCGCGACTGCCCTTGCGTAACTGCGCACGCGTGACCGACTGCCCTTCCACACGAGTGCCGCCCCCCGCCCCCCCCCCCACCGATCTGCGTCCCGTGCCAGGCTACGTGCACTTCAGGGAGCAGTACCCGGAGCTGTTTGAGAACCTGTGCCCCGAGGCGTTGCGCAGCACCATCGAGGCCGGCTACCCGGGTGTGCTGCCCTCAAGGGACAAATACGGCCGCGTGGTACTCCTCTTCAACATCGAGCACTGGGACTATCAGGAGATCACCTTCGACGAGGTGAGGCGGTTGGCGAGCTAGGGCGATCACCACACCGGAGGTGCTGTGATCGACGACGAGGTGGGCCATGGAGGTAGGCGACGAGGTGGGTGTTTGTGGAGGGAGGTGATCGAGGTGGGCGATCGTGGTCGGCGACGAGGTAGGTGATTATGGAGGTAGGTGATTATCGGCGTAATTTAGTGATGACATAGGGTGACGAGGTAGGCGACGAGGTGGGTGGTTGAGGTAGGTGACGAGGTAGGTGAGTGACGAGGTAGGTGACGAGGTAGGTGAGAGACGAGGTAGGTGAGTGACGAGGTAGGTGATGATGTATGTGACGAGGTAGGTGACAAGGTATGTGATTCGCCACTGCGGCTTGACCCGAGCCACCGGTGCATGATCTCAGCGGAAGCAGTCCGGTTAGCGGCTGTGCGGGGGAGTTTACTTGAAGCTGACTCTGTTGTTAACATCGCTAACCTTTAAGCGTGAATGCAATTTTACGAAATAATTGCTTCTATTTTACGCCTGTAATCGTGGAATGCGTTGATGTTGTCTGCCTGCTTCTTGGCTCAATGGGCTTCACCCTGGGTTTGATCTTCCACGAAGCTCATGGTCCACCCCAAACCGCATCCACTGCACAAACCATGGCAGTAGGTGCGGATACCTGTTGCACAAATGTGAAAATTAACAACTCTCCCGTGTGCGACTGCGGTCATCCAGATCAGAGACCGTACAACGTGCAACGGCGCAATGCCCCGATCCACAAATGCGCAGGCGACATCACAGAGACGATGATACCACTCCGCTACCCCTGACGCGGTTGTCTGGCTTGGCCCACCTGCATGTGAGACTGTAGCCGTTGTTCTGCCATCGACACCAGCAGCCGTACGACAAGCAGGAAGACTCGGGAAATAAACTTCTGAACTGATGTGTGACAAAGACAAAGATCCCCCGTATGACCATTGACAGACTGTTGGTCGGGGCAAGTGCTGTTAGTGAGCGCCTATGAAGGCCTGCACGGCGTACAAGGGGGTGGGTGGTCAGCACCACGCCTTTGTTTCCCTAGTAGTGGCGATGTTTACACGCCGCACCAGGTACTCATTTGAGGCTGAATCGACCTAGGGGAGGCTCAGGACCGGTTCAGATAATAGTCGCTGGCGTTGGCCGTGAGCAGGAATCGAACTCGGGTCGCCACGGGCTCGAAGCGCAGCGTAGCGCTGACCGCTATACCACCGCTCCCCATAAACGTCTGAACTGATCTATGGCAACACCACCACCACCACCACAACGTCCATCTCGCATCATTCCCTTCCTCTTTTATATTTTCTCTCTCTCTTCTTCTTCTTCGTGTTGAGTTTGTTGATGGTTGTTAGTTTTCATTCACGTCGCTCTCCGCAGATCCTGCGTGCGTACTGCATCATCTTGGAAGACCTCCTGGTCAACGAGGAGACCCAGATCAACGGCTTCTGCATCATCGAAAACTTTGCCGGCTTCAGCATGCAGCAGGCCTCCGGCATCAAACCCTGGGAGCTCAAGAAGATGGTGGACATGCTGCAGGTCTCTAGGCTGGCCGTGTTGTTGTTGTTGTTGTTGTTTTGCATCCAATTGGGATGACGCAGTAGCGTAACTAGCGTGGGAGGCCACGGGTGCCTTGCTCCCCCCTTCCACCCCCCCCCCTTCCATCCCCCCTCTTCCACCCCCCCCGCTCCCTGGTGGCCAAAGCTACGAGTTGGAGGCTCCCCTAGACAACCACGATGAGAGGTATTTTTCAACAGTTTTAGTACTGGAAGTAATATAGTAAAGAAACGTCAATGTAACGTAACGAAAAGTATGTTGCTTTGAACGACGGTAACTCGAGTTAAAATGACAATTGGACGTAGAGCTCCGTTTCCGGGATATTTATTGAATTTGGATTCGCGCCGATTATATTGCGACGAGGTAAGCACGGCGCAGTAGTGGCTGTATATTTCGCGAAGTAGTGGCTGTACATTTCGCGAAGTAGTGGCTGTACATTTCGCGAAGTAGTGGCTGTATATTTCGCGAAGTAGTGGCTGTATATTTCGCGAAGTAGTGGCTGTATATTTCGCGAAGTAGTGGCTGTATATTTCGCGAAGTAGTGGCTGTATATTTCGCGAAGTAGTGGCTGTATATTTCGCGAAGTAGTGGCTGTATATTTCGCGAAGTAGTGGCTGTATATATCGCGAAGTAGTGGCTGTATATTTCGCGAAGTAGTGGCTGTATATTTCGCGAAGACTGCGCGCGCCCCCTACAGCGTTAAACGTTGGAGTCCGTGAGCATAACGATGACGTGACCAGGGCAAGAGAAGCCGTGGATTTTACAATAGCCTGGGTTGCGGACCGTGCGAGGCAAATCAAATATCGTAGCCCCCCCCCCCCCCCTTTACCGATTTCTGCACCCGCTGAGCTGCTGATAATATCGTTACTACTCCACTCGGGTGACGGCAGAACCAGCGGTGTCAGAGCTGGGATGCTGGTTTGGCATTGGCGTCACCGGAATCTGTTGTGGTAGAGGTCAGACGTCGCATGGTGGCTGTAGAGACTGCATCATTGTCCCCAGGGCTCTCTTGCAAATGAGACTCTATCCTGGCCCCCCGAGTTCTCACCCTGGTCAAGCAAGATAAACGTGTAACGTGAACACCGATAGGGGGGCACTTAAATACCCGCGAAGCAATTCAACTCGCAAAACCCAACTGTGGCACAACAGAACCACCTCCACCCACCTCCACACATCATCACCAGCATCACCACCCACCAGCACACACCTCCATATATCATCACACACCGTCACCACCTCCACCCACCTCCACACATCATCACCAGCATCACCACCCACCTCCACCCACCAGCCCACACCTCCATATATCATCACACACCATCACCAACTCCACACACACTATCGCACTTTATCACCACCACCATCATCATCACCACCTACATCCACACACCATCGCACGTCATCACACCCCACCGCACCCCATGACCACACCTGCACACACTACCACACACCATCACCACCTCCACACACCTCGATCGCACATCAACACCTCTCTCCTCCTCCTCCTCCTCGCCCACGCCACCGTGCGGTATAGGACTCCTTCCCCGCGCGGTTCAAAGCCGTGCACTTCATTAACCAGCCGTGGTACTTCACCACCACCTACAACATCGTGAAGCCCTTCCTCAAGGCCAAGTTGCTGGACAGGGTAAGTGCTGAGGTCCAGGAGCGGCGTAACGAGCGTGAGGGCACCCTGGAGGTGCCGTGGCCCATGATGGCCAAAGCGACGAGTTGGGCCTCCCTACCCCCCCCGCCTTGACAACCACCATATGTTTTCGACAGCAGTGTAAAAAAACAACGCAATAATGTATTTAAAAGATCGGGTTTAATTTAAATTTTTGGATGAAAATGCTTTCATTTAGTCGTTGCTGTATTTTCTGCGGAGACGGAGCGCCCCCCCCACCTCCCCCACAGCGCTAAATGTTCGAGACCGTGAGCGTGACGACGATGTGTTTATGGCAAGAGATACGTAATAATCCGAGGTTTGACGAATTCAATATTGGGGCCCCACCGGACCGATTGTACCGGCACCCGCTGAGCTGACGACAACGTAGTTACGTCGCCACTGGCTCGGCCACCACGCGACTGCTCATCAGGCCGAGCACTCGTGTGTCCACGTTCCGCGTGTACGCACGTGCGCCGGCCTAAAATAGGTGCTCGCCAACAGCACTTGCCCCCAATCGTCTGTTGTACGTGTGCATGCTGAACTTCTTTCGCACCGTACGTAGCCAAATGCGCTTATCGGAGGCGCAGGGTGACTGCAAACTCTTAACACCCAATCCAGAACTGCGGAGGATCGTGGGAGGCGTTTGGCTGTCGAAGGCTATCCTGTATGGGGGATCTTTGCCTCTGTACGAGACGGCACTTGGCCCAACAGTCTGTTAAAGGCTACACAGGGGACCTTTGTTTTTACGTGTGAGACAGAGTGGGATGCTCGCTAAATTGCACCTGCCACAATAGTCTGTTAAAAGCTACGGGGGATCTTTATCCTTGCTCGTTAACAACACTTGCCCCTAACAGCCTGTTTAAAGTTATACGGGGGATCTTTGCGTGACATAATGGGGAGCGGTGGCGCTGTGACTAGCATACGTCGCTACGAACCTGCCGACCCGAGTTCAATTCCCGGCCAGGTCCAGCTTCAGTGGCGATTATCCGAACCGGGCCTTCCCTCGGTATACTCAGCCCTGAAACGAGTTACGCGGCGAGGTGTGCAAAAACATCATCCATCATTGGGGAGACAAAGGCGTCCGGGCGCGGGTGGTGTCGGCCACCATTCTTTGCTGTGCCGTCACCCACGACAGCCCTTGCCCCAACAGCCTGCGTAGGCTACACCGTGGGGGGATCCTTTGTCTTTGGGATTCCCGCAGGTGCACGTGCACGGCGAGGATCTGGTGCAGTACTACTCCGAGTTCGACGTCGACATCCTGCCCGAGGACTTCCGGGGCAACCAGCCCAAGTATGACGGCAAGGCCACGGCCGCCAAGCTCTTCGACAGCTCGCGGGACAGCGAGGACACTGCCCTCTGAGTGGGCGCGCTCGCTCGCCCCCCAAAAAACACCCGCACCCACGCCGTGCCCCCCAACAACCACCCGCACCCACGCCGTGCCCCCCATAAATCACCCGCACCCACGCCGTACCCCCCAGAAACACTCGCACCCACGCCGTGCCCCCCAAAAACCACCCGCACCCACGCCGTGCCCCCCAAAAACCACTCGCACCCACGCCGTACCCCCCAGAAACACTGGCACCCACACCGTACCCCCCAGAAACACTCGCACCCACGCCGTGCCCCCCCAAAACCACCCGCACCCACGCCGTGCCCCCCAAAAACCACTCGCACCCACGCCGTGCCCCCCAAAACCACCCGCACCCACGCCGTGCCCCCCAAAAACCACTCGCACCCATGCCGTGCCCCCCAAAAACCACCCGCACCCACGCTGTACCCCCAAAAACACTCGCACCCATGCCATAACCCCCCCAAAAAATCACTCACACCCACGCCGTACCCCCCCAAAAACACTCGCACCCACGCCGTACCCCCCAAAAACCACCCGCACCCACGCCGTACCCCCCAAAAACCACCCGCACCCACGCCGTGCCCCCCAAAAACCACCCGCACCCACGCCGTGCCCCCCAAAAACCACCCGCACCCATGCCGTGCCCCCCAAAAAACACTCACGCCGTACCACCCCAAAAACACTCGCATCCACACCATAACCCCCCAAAAACACTCGCACCCACGCCGTGCCCCCCAAAAACACTCGCACCCACGCCGTAAACACTCGCACCCATTTCGATTTAAAGCTTTCGTTACTGCAAGGATTCATCTTCTTTGGCTCTTTCGGAAAAGTCACCACGTAGAATGAGAATAAAATAATAAAATAAAATAACAAAATTCTTGCGACGTTTCGGCCACGTCGTGAGAATTGTATTGCGTTATTTTATTTAATTATTTTTATTTTCATTCTACGTGACTTTACCGAAAGAACCAAAGAAGACTCGCACCCATTTCAAATGATCCCCACCAATGAACAAATCCCGTAGCAGACAGCCCCTCTTCTCACCCCATCATCCACCGCAAGCACTCAACCACAGTGCCTACCTCTGTTCCTGTAGAGAGAGTGAGAGGCGGAATATCGCTACGGACCGGCCAGTGTTGTCAATCGCGTCGTTCGCCGTGTTCTTAAGAGGCGCGCGTAGCCGTCGACCTTGCTGTGAAGTTTTAAACGCAAACGTGGCATTGTCCCCCGCAGTAGCATTCGGTTGTTGTTGGTTTGTTTGAGACGCGAAGGGACGTGGACAGGATTTTTACTGCACGGCCCCACCTCGGTGTCTCTTCGCCTTCTTTCCCCTTCTCTTTTCTCCACTACCCCCGATAACCGAGCCACGACGGGGCCGTGCTGGGCCGGCCCCAGCCCGGCGCGGCTTCAGGAGGCGGGGGCCCCCAAGTTTTGTTTGTCCACTCGAAGACGCGTTGTGGGGTCAGTGATGACAACGGTACACGCCGCCTTCGGCTCGTGTGGCGGCTGACCGTCAGGCTCGGTGAGCACGTCGTCACGACGGGCCGCGCTGGCCCTGCTTGGCCCAGATGCAGAATTTCAACATTTGCCCTAGGGGCCATAGTAGCATGGTTAGGTCGCGACACAGCACGGCGGAATCGCCAGTCGGAAAACCATCCGTGCCGCGGGGGCGCCTCCTGCTGGCTCGGCTCGGATGTGGCCAGTGGGAAAAAAAAGAGCTGTATCTCGTCAAATAGATGAATCAACGTGACTTGAGCTGTCCCACCTGGTTTTGAATAAACTTTTGTTGATTGATTTTTGTGAGCCCTACGATCAGGTCACTCCCGACGTGTCCGAGAGAGGTCGACCGCCGGCGGAGAGACGGAGCGATAGAAGAAAAAGAATCGGCTCGGCGCAGAAGGTGCCGAGCCGATCGCTTTACATCGTGGGACCAACCGCGAGAGATGGCGACGGGTTGGGAAGGCCTCCATCCAGCATCGGATAGAGCATGGCTGGTGCTGATATTGATTACCTGGTGACTCAGGGGTTTTACCGAAAGACCCAAAGAAAATGAATTCCTGCAGTCACGAAAGCTTTAAGTCAAGATTTACGACTGAGAGGGCTCTGCTTGGGATACCATTGGCGAGTGGCATTTTAAAATGTAATTTAATTTGTTTTGGTTTAACTTAATTATCATCGAGCCCCATGGTGTAAACAAGTGCAGTCTGCAACTCGTCACGACAACAGCGTGCTCACGTCCATCCACGCGGCTCTCGGGATACGCTCGAAGTCCACGGCAGACAACACTTTGAATCTGAACGGGGCCTCGCTTATATACGTATGAATCTGAAAGCAAAAAAAATAACAACAAACATTTTATGCAATTGATTTTATTTATTTAAAATATTTAACCGGGGGAAAAAAACAACACAAATCTTGTGAGCTAAAACATCTCGTTAATTTTTTTTACAGGCGTCCCGGAGGAATGACTGAATGAATGAACTAACACAAAATAATGAATTAACATTTCATTCACCACCCCTCCCCCTCGCTCACCAAATCGACTAGAGCACGTTGCATTCGACGATTTCAAACCGCATCAAAAGCCATCTCCTCGCCGCCGTGCACCACAGCGGACGTTGGTGTCCACGTTGGTTCGGGACGTCATCATAACATGTGGCAGTAGTTTCACTCACGACGACTTTCGCAAATTACATAAGGTCAAAACTGGCTCATGTGACTGCTGATGAGACACATGCAGGCAAAAAACTGGTCCATGCGACTCTGCTGATAGAACGTTAGAAAGATGAAACCACGTCTAGGCCGACTCTGCCGAAGAGCCGCAACAAGAACAGAAACCGGTACAGACAAAACCCCACTGATGAGCCCCAGTAGAGGGCGAAACCGGTCTGGAGTTGTCGCATTTAAACTAAAGCCGCTGCTGAATAAACACGGGGAGTCTGGGAGGGCCAATCCGGCAGACGGACTCAAAAAATATCCGAATTTACCGTGGACACTAGGGAGGAGGAGAGTGCCACAGACTTCATGCGTTGCCCAGCATGTGCGTATCAGAGCATCTTGTAGTCAACACACCATACACATTAAAGTAATGCATGATGTGTAAGACGAAGCGATTGTGGACACGACTCTTGCTTTGTAGCGTATATAAAGGGGTACGAGAAGGGGTGTGCATGTGAGGGGAGGGGGGGATATCAGACTTACAAGATAATGTACACGTTATTTCAAGAAAAGCAGAAGGCATGAACAAAATTGGAACTATAGACTGCATATAGTTGAGTTTTTTGTTGTTTTTCGTCCAACTTTGTCGTTTGAATTATATAAACATTGATCTTTCACCCCAAGATCGAACCGGCAGCTATAGGCAAACGATGTGTCTCTTTGGTAAAAGCGCATTTTAATTAAAGCGGAGATATATATAAAATAATATAATAATACTGATATTATGATACCATGCCGTATACATAATATACACGCTAATGCATTTTACATGCCTTATATATATTTTTAAAGAGCATTTTTCCCCCAAACAAAAGTCAAAAGCTATCCCCCACGCTGTCACCCTCTTCTTTTGTTGAATACTATTTAGAAGCTAAATTATAACAAAAACTAATGAAGAGTTAGTCAAGCATCGAGGTTCCTCATTGGCTGTTGAGATTTGGACGCTGATCATAATAATAATACTATTATCTGTGATGTCTTCAGCAACCTCACACGTGGAACGATTTTAAAATGTTAGTTAAAAGGTGATTTTAAAAGCCCGTTTTTGAAATTAATTTACAGCCATTTGTCTATCCACTGTTGGATAAAATTCCCTCCCCTCCCTCACCCCCATCGCCAAGCGCAATGGGGGGGGGGGGTGTAGCGGTTGTTTGACCATACTTCACCACGCTGGTCAGTGCGGGTTGGTGAAGAATTATCTAAGGGGCGGCGCCCAGGACTGGTTCAGATTTCAAGTCGCCGTGGCTAGGAGTCGAACTCAGCGCGCCGGCTTCAAAGCGCAGAGTGCGCAAACTAAACGCTGCGCCACCGCTCCCGCACAGCGTCACGATATACCCACACATGTACGCGATTGCAAGTTACGCGTACATTCATTTGTAATAACATCCTATGCATACTGACACTTAAACCTCGTGAGATATATCTTTAACCCAAAACAATGACACGTACACACACGTACACACAAAGGCAAAGATCTCCCGCACCGCCGCATAAGGCTTTTGGGGAAAATGCTGTTAGCGAGCTCCTATTATTAAGGCCTGCACGAGGGCTGAGTTTTTACACACCGCACTCGGTACTCGCTTGAGGCCGAGTCGACCTATTGGGGTCACGGAACCAGTTTACATCACAAGTCAATGATGTTGGGCCGTGTATCAAGAACCCCAGCTGGGTTCGTAGTGCAGTGCGCTAACCACTGCTCCAACGGTCCCATCCCAATGACAAAGGCGTACACACACACGTGATCACGTACACGCAACGCACAGGCACATTACACGATGCCCCCTTGACACGTGTCCCGATATTTTAGGGGCCTTTTGCACTGGACTAGAAAAACAACCCCAACATTTCAACTTTAAAAAAAGAGTCATTTCGCCGAGAGGAAGATAAAAAGCTGACGTTTCAGCCACTTAGTCTTCTTCAGGGTAAAAAAAAAATCGCGTGGCGAAGGGATATGGCGGTTCATCCTCCCCCACGATTCAATATGAATTCAGGATTCGCCATTCAAAAGTAATTGTTTTCTGTTCCACCGCGGTGCAGATCGCGGTCTCTCGTGGCTGCGGGAATCACGTGACCCCATTCAACACGATGTCAAAAAAATTTGCATTCCATTTCGAGCATGTCAATTTCACTTCCCTTAAAAGTTAATGATCAATTAACAGTCTCGTGTCAATCCACTGCTGGATGATGGCCTTACCCACGCCGTACGAATTGGGGAAAGGGAGGGAGGGGGGTGGGGGTATGGGAGCCCCCGGATTTCACTCGGCACGGATGTGAGCCGTAGCCGACAGGAATCGAACCGAGGTTTCCGGGTTCGTAGCGCAGTGCGCTAACGACTGCGCCACCACTCCACATTATTTTGTTGCTCTTCTCTTTTTAACAAAACGTCTCTAAACAAAGCGGCACAGCCTGGATTCGTGCTGTTTCTTCTCCGTCGTTATAAACAGAGCTTCCTTTCAGCCGGAGCTAGCCGGGGCTGAGCTCCTGCAAATATTTCCCCAGCCCGCCCAAGTTGCGAGGAGGAGGGGGGGGTCCAGGAGAGTTAGGGGGGGGGCTGGAATACATTCCACAAGATCTCAATCAACCCTCCACCCTCTTGGTGGTGACTTTGGGCCACGTTGGCCGAAGTCTGGTGGAGGGTTCACGTTGTCGAACACAGCGACAACAGCGCCCTCCTGCGGACAAGCATGATAAGTGCTCTGACATTTCCAAAAGAAACAGATTTACAACAATGAAATGTACTTATTTTTTGCCTTCCTCTTCTCTCTCTCAAAAAAAATATATATACTGTGTATTTATATATATAAAAATATTCATACACATATACTCACAGCCACGGTAAGGTATGTAAAAATGTAAGTTTAAAGCTGTCTTCGTCCGTGAACACGAGGCACGTTCTTTTTACGTCATAAAGCGGCAGTCACGTGTCACTTCCTCTGGTTATCGATGGGCTATCGGCCCAGTGTTGTGGTGTTACCGTATTATCCAGATCTAGAGGATATGGCCTGACACACCCACACGCACGCACAGAAATCTTTTTTTTAAAAACAGGTGTGTATTATAATCCGGACAATACGGTAATTTCATTATCCAAGGAAAGCCTCACCTGAGTCTCAGGGATGTTTATCGGGAGGGTCCTGTCACACTTAAGATGTTTGACGAATTTCCATTCGTGAACATTTCACTTTTCATGTCACAAAAAAAACACAACTAAATTTGGTATATCGGGTACCCTTTCCCATGAACGTGACTGAAGAAAATTTCCGCGAAAATTCAAAACTCTCGGTGTTCCCCTCGCTAGACGAGACTGCTGCGCGATTCTGAATGAAACCGAAGCTCTTCCCCGCGCAGAGACTTGGACATTGTGCACGCGCAGGCGGTGGCTGCGACGGCTGAGCCGTAAGACCACAAACTTACTTTGCCGGATATTTTTTTTTATCCCACGTGATCCGCCGCGTCTCAACCGCGAGTCTGTTCTGCGCTTTGGTAATTTCGTGCTCTCTACTCTGCCCTCCGTGCTCGTCTGTAAATTGCGCGCCGCACCCGACATGGATTAGAAGCTTTCGCGGCTGCGTGAATCCGCACTCTCCGCTTCTCTCGGCGAAGCCACGTAGGTAGAAATAAAATAATAAAAGACCACGACGTTTCGATCGCAACACAAGCGGTCGCCCTCGGGCGGAAAAGGAAAAAAAAAGGACGAGAAAAAAAAAGGCCGCTTGTGTTGCGATCGAAACGTCGTGATCTTTTATTATTTTTTTCTACCTACGTCACTTCACCGAAAGAACCAACGAGTAAAGAGTCTGGCACCCAATATTCTCGAGCACCCGGGGGGAGGGGGGGGGGCACCACCATGCGCCCGCGGATCGCGACGCCGCGACGCAAGGGCTTCACAATGTCACAATTCGGGATGAAAGGAAATTCAATCAAGCAACATTTTTTTTTGGTCTCATTTTTTCACCGGCTCCTTACGCATTCTTGCTTGCGGATCGTCAAAGAATCCTTAGGCAGATCCCGAACGCGCGCGATTCGATGCGTGTGTCCGTGAGCCGAAGAATGGATGCCAATCGATGCGTCATCGTCCGTTGCATATCTTAGCAGGTGTGTAACGATTTCCACTCCTCCCCCCTCCCCACCCAGCGTTTAATTGCATAGTAGCGATTTTCCGTCACGACTAAATTATATTAAAAAAAAAATTCTTCTCGACCGTGGTGAATGTAGCGGCCTCTAGGGGCAGCAGGAGGAGGTCACGTGCTCCCCGTGAGATACGAACAGCACGCGAACATTAAACGTGCACCACTCTGAAACGCACGAAACTAATTTGCGTGGATCGCCATCCTAAGAATCGATCGATAGAAATCGACCAATTAAAAAAAAATCGATTTTTTTCAATCGACGTGTCGTAAAAAAGAAACATCGATGATTTTAGTCGGTGCGTTTCTCTTGTAGCCTGCGAGCCGTCGTGATTGGGTTGGCGGGCGGGGGGGGTGAGAGAAGTTGGAGGCTCTGGGACGCAGGGGGCGGGGCACGGGGGGTGGGGGTGGGGCACGGGGGGCGTGGGGGGGCACGGGGGGCGTGGGGGGGCACGGGGGGCGTGGGAGGCTCAGTGCAGGAAGCGGTGCCGGTGCTGTGAACGCCGCGGCAGCCGCGACCACGCGAGGTGCTGGTGGGGGGCCGTGGGGTCACGACCCTGGCTCGTGCCCCTCGCGATCGTGCCGGCTGTGGGGGGAGGGGGGGGGGGAACACCACCACCATCATCATCATCATCACCATATTCACGATGGTCATCATCATCAATTCATTTTTAGATTGAAAACTCATTTACTTAGGACTGGTTTTTTTGCGTGTGTTTCGTTTGTTGCCCTTCCCCCGCACCTCCGATTAGCGCGGTTGGCTACGTACGGTGCGAAAGAAGTTGAACGTACGTACATCGTGTGTCGTCATGATGGTCATCGTAATGAGTTATTATCCTCATCGTCATGATTGTCATCCTTCATGGGGGGGGGGGGGGGGGGGCTGGAAGGCGGTGGGGGTGACACGTGGTGTGTGTGTGCTGGGTGCGTAAGAAGTGGGTTGTATATGGGAGGGGCGGGTGGGGGACACATGGTGTGTGGGTGAGTGGTTCCTGCCATGGGGAGAGGGGGGTGGCTGGAACATCAGCATCGTCGTCAACCTAGTCATGGTCAACTCAGCATCGTCATGATGGTCATCATTGTTACAAGAGTATGGTTTTTGTTTGCATTCTGACCACAAGCATTGTGGTTAATGCACACATGATTCCTTATGAAAGGTTTCAGTTTGGTGTTTTAACATCTTAACACCTGTTTTGTTGCCAGAAAAAAGGGGAAAACCTATTCTCTCATCTTTTGGTAATGGAAAAGGAGGTCCCATGACCCTTATGAGAGTTGTGTGGGGACACGTGGGTCGTGTGTGGGGACACGTGGGTCGTGAAGTGTGGACACGTGGGTCGTGTGTGTGGACACGTGGGTCGCGTGTGTGGACACGTGGGTCGCGTGTGTGGACACGTGGGTCGTGTGTGTGGACACGTGGGTCGCGTGTGTGGACACGTGGGTCGTGTGTGGGGACACGTGGGTCGTGAAGTGTGGACACGTGGGTCGTGTGTGTGGACACGTGGGTCGCGTGTGGGGACACGTGGGTCGTGTGTGGGGACACGTGGGTCGTGTGTTTGGACACGTGGGCTGTGCGTGTGGACACGTGGGTCGTGTGTGTGGACACGTGGGTCGTGTGTGTGGACACGTGGGTCGTGAAGTGTGGACACGTGGGCTGTGCGTGTGGACACGTGGGTCGTGTGTGTGGACACGTGGGTCGTGAAGTGTGGACACGTGGGTCGTGTGTGTGGACACGTGGGTCGCGTGTGTGGACACGTGGGTCGCGTGTGTGGACACGTGGGCTGTGCGTGCGCGTGTGGGCGAGCGGGCGGCTCGTCAGCCGGGACACGCACGTCGCACGCAGCTGATGCGCGGCTCGTCCCAGCGGCCGCTGTCGCGGCAGCGCACGCTGGGCTGGTGGCGCTGCACGAAGCCCTCGCGGCACCGGTAGCGCACCAGGGCGTGCAGCTCGTAGCGGCCGCGCAGCGCCCCGAAGGAGCGCGCGTGGGGCACCACGGGGGGCGGACCGCACGACACTGGGGGCGGGGCGGGAGGGGAGGGAGGGAGGTGGGGGGGGCACAGACAAAGGCAATGACAAAGATCCCCCCCACCCCGGATAGCCTGCAGCGGACCGTTGGGGCAAGTGATGTTAGCGAGCGAGCACCTTTGCAAAAGCCGGCAAGGCACGAGGAAGATGCTGAGTGGACAGCGCCACGCACTTGCCATGCACACGCGCACGTCACGCGTCTTCATAGACACAAAAGATCCCCCCACCCCGGTGTAGCCTTTAGCTGACTCCCGGGGCAAGTGCTAGTGAAGGCTGGACACGGCACACGTAGCGGGTCGGTGCGGCCAACACCGCCCCCGGCCGCATTTGTCTCCCCGGTGGCGATGCTTGCACACCGCACCGGGTACTTACTCGTTTCAGGCTGAGTCGACCTAATCAGAGCTCCAGGACCGGTTCAGATAATCGCCGTGGGTGGCCGTGAGCGGGGCAATCGAACTCGGCTCGCCGGGTTCGTAGCGCGGCGCGCTAACCCGCTACACTACCGCAAGCCCACACCCCCCGTGCGTGTGCACGCACACACGTGTTCGCAGGCCGGTGATACCCGTCCACGTACACGCGCAGACACACGTGTGCACGCACACACGTGTTCGCAGGCCGGTGATACCCGTCCACGTACACGCGCAGACACACGTGTGCACGCACACACGTGTTCGCAGGCCGGTGATACCCGTCCACGTACACGCGCGCACACACGCGCTCACCTGCGCTCTTCTTGCAGGTGAAGGTGAGGTGGTAGTTGCACGGAACGTCGTTCCACTGCCCGTTCTCGTGCCAGATGAGCACCACGCAGTCCTCGCCGGGTTCGAAGAAGCTGTCGGGTTGGTTGAGCCTCCAGTTCTCGTAGTCCTGCCGCGGCCACGTGGCACAACGTTATCAACATCGTCATCATCATCATCGTCACCATCGACATCGTCATCAACTTTGTCGTCATCGTCAACACCATCATCGTCAACACCATCATCGTACTCGTCGTCGTTGGCCTGACGTGCAGGCTCAGCTCAATGCGAACTCACTCGCAATGTTTTAGTAGTTGTTTTGAGGCCACGTTCGCGTCGTTCATCCCCCTGAATTTCAACAAATATCAATAAGACAGTCCTCCATTTTTGGGGCTCAAGTGGGTGGGGGGGGGGCAATCACCCCTCTCCCTCCCATGCCCCCCACTTAGTTCTGCCGCTGCGACGGGGACCCTTCCAGCCGCCGCCGAAGTTTCGACCTGGGTCCACGACCACCATCATCAATAGCCCCCTCTCCCTACTCCCTTTTCCAGCTCCGCCCCCCCTCTCCCCGCTCCGCTCGCTCCCTCTCACGCGCGCGCAGTCCGTCTAGACGGAGGCCCTTACCAGGTGGCTTCCGTCGCTCCAGTGAAAGTCGTTCTCGTACATCCTGTCGTTGAGGCCGATCCACTGGTACTGGCCGAGACCTGTCGAGAGAGAGAGAGACAAAGGTGGACGGGCGGGGTAGCGAGCGTTTCAATTGGCGGCAGTGGCGGCCGCGTGAAGAGCCCATCGGCGGTGGCTGTGATCCCCTGACCGCCGACCTCCACCCTGACCCCCCCCACCCTCCCAGAAAAAGACAAACATCCCCCGTATAGCCTTAACAGACTGTAGGGGCAAGTGCTGTTAGCGAGCACCTATGAAGGCCGCAACGGTACCACGAGGGGGTGGGTGGCCAGCACCACGCCCGACCGCCTTCGTCTCCCCAGTGGCGATGTTTACACACCGCACCAGGTGCTCATTTGCGGCTGAGTCGACTTAGTGGGGGCCCTGGACCAGGTACAAATCACCGATCTCGGCTTGCCGGATTCAGTAGTGCAGCGTGACAACCATTGCACTCCCGCGCTCTGACAAACACACACACACAGCAGCAGAGACAAAGATGCCCGCGTGTGACCTTCAACAGACTGCAACACCACTACCGCCCTCCACACTGTCACCACTCGCCCACCACCACCGCTCGGCCCTGTTCCACCCCTTCCTTGACGCACACACCGAGCGCCCCTCTCCCGTCCCCCCCGACCCCGACTGACCCCCGCCGACCCCCCGGAGAGGCGTACTGGTGAGGAAGCGCTGCTCCTCGCGCGAGTGCACGCTCGCCAGGTGGGCGCCGAAGGCGCGGCAGCTGCGCTCGGCGCGCTCCCAATCGCGACGCTCCGTCACGTAGCGGTAGCAGTGGCCCTGGAACTTCTGCCAGCCCGACTCGCAGATCTCCGTGTCTGCCGACAGCGAGCAGGGGACGGACGGCGAGCAGAGACAGCAGAGGAGAGACAGCAGAGTAGAGACAGGGAGCAGAGACAGCGAACAGCGAGTAGAGACAGCAGAGTAGAGACAGACAGGGAGCAGAGACAGACAGCAGAGACAGACAGGGAGCAAAGACAGCAGGGTAGAGACAGCAGTGTAGAGACAGCAGAGTATAGACAGGGAGCAGAGACAGCGAACAGCGACAGCGAGTAGAGACAGCGAGTAGAGACAGCAGAGTAGAGACAGACAGGGAGCAGAGACAGACAGCAGAGACAGACAGGGAGCAGAGACAGCAGAGTAGAGACAGCAGAGTAGAGACAGCGAGCAGAGACAGACAGCAGAGTAGAGACAGGGAGCAGAGACAGCGAACAGCGACAGCGAGTAGAGACAGCGAGTAGAGACAGCAGAGCAGAGACAGACAGGGAGCAGAGACAGACAGCAGAGACAGACAGGGAGCAGAGACAGCAGAGTAGAGACAGCAGAGTAGAGACAGCGAGCAGAGACAGACAGCAGAGTAGAGACAGGGAGCAGAGACAGCGAACAGCGACAGCGAGTAGAGACAGCGAGTAGAGACAGCAGAGTAGAGACAGACAGGGAGCAGAGACAGACAGCAGAGACAGACAGGGAGCCAAGACAGCAGAGTAGAGACAGCAGTGTAGAGACAGCAGAGTATAGACAGCAGAGTAGAGACAGCGAGCAGAGACAGACAGCAGAGTAGAGACAGACAGCGAGCAGAGACAGACAGCAGAGACAGACAGGGAGCAGAGACAGCAAACAGGGACAGCGAGCAGAGACAGTGGCGTCAGCGTTAGTCACGACGATCCGCGCGCGAGTGAACCCACCTTCCCCCCCTCCCCTCCATGGCTCGTCAGAATCAGAATCTTTATTTATACCGGAGGAATCCGATGAGCTATAAAACCTTCCCCCCCCCCCCACAGATTTCCCAGTAGGGGCACGTGGTCAGAACAATACAAAATCACTCTTAAAACTTTTTTTTGTAAAGCCCACTGGAGGTATCAACTTATTTTTCAGAAGCGACCTCGCCACACGCAATGACAGGTCAACGGAGTGCCTTGTCGTCATGTGGATAGCTGCACCCCCCCCCCCACTACTGTTCAGAGTCACGGCCTGGTCATGCCACGCCGTCGCAAGGGGCGAGCGCAAACTCACCCCTGGCGAGTCAGAAACCTCGCTCGCGCTCCACCTCCCAGCGGTCAGATTCATTGCCCGGGCCCGCTGTGCCGTCCCCGAGTCCCAGGTTTCTTGTGCAGCGATTAAGGCTTGCGGGTACGCGTGTTGCGTTCACGGGGTTTAGGGGCAGGGGGCGAAAGAGCGTTTTTGTTTGATCGTTCTCAACGTCACCTTCCGCGCGGGGACTCGGGACCGGGACGCCGGATGGCCCGTCAGCGCTCGAGCAATCTCGCCGAGCCGCGCTGTGCTCCGTGAAAAAATAAAAGCTCCCACGAAGAGATCTCGGACTCACCCTCCTCGCAGAGCTTCCCGGCGTAGCTGGGCAGGCACTGGCACGAGTAGGAGGCCACGTGATCCACGCACGTGCCGCCGTTGTGGCAGGGGTTGGACTCGCACTCGTCCACCTCTGTGAACGCAGCGAGATAGGTTCCTGAGTGATCGTTTGCACGTGCCCGCTGTGCGAGCGCGTATGCACGCGGGGGGACCCCACGTGGTGACGCCACTCCCGGCGCCTCGCTCGGACCAGATGAACAACTCGGTTAACGATTGACCCCCATTGTTCTCGACTGGACTAATAGTTGGCGATTGGACCAATCGTTAGTGATTGGACCGATAGTTATCGATCGTTGGCGATTAGCTCCGATCGTTCTCGATTGGACCGTTCGTTGGCGAATGGACCGATAGTCCGCGAGTTTGCCCTTGGTTGTTGATTTGGACTCATTGTTGGTAACGGGACCAACAGTAAATTGCCTTCTTCTAAGTGCTACGAGGTCAAGGCTCTGTGTCTGCAGGGGCGATCGGGCCTTTGTCTTTATTGTTATTCAAAAAGCGAAGTAACAATCACCCGCCCGTCCAATCAATTGTTTCAATTCAAAGTACGCGTGCATGTATGTAGAACTTATTTCGCGCCGTACGTAGCCAACCGTGCTAATCAGACAGTTGTGATAACGATAAAAAAACGGCTACATTCACAATGGGGGAAACGTAGCAGCCTCTAGTGGCTGAGTCGCGTCAGTGACACTGTGATGTATTTTAAATAGAATAATTGATTTATTATAATTTTTTTAACTCCCGCCCCCTATCGACTCACCGACTTCGCATCGGTCCCCAGAGTAGCCCGGCTCACAGACGCAGTGGTGTTGCCCCTCGTAGGAAATGCAGCGCCCGCCGCTCTCACACGGGTTCTGCTCGCAGTCTAGCGGAGGCGACAGAAAGAGAGAGGGGATATCGTGCCGATGATTAATGAGACGTTCGCCAGCAGTGCCGACCACTCCCATGCCGCGCGAGAGGCCCCCCGAGTGAGGGCGACCGGCTTCGCCGGGTCGTTTGTGAGCTTGCGCTGCGCCCGCCCTCCCGAACACCGCCCCGCTCACCGGGCAGGGAGAGCACCAGGCTCTCGTCGGGGAATGGCGTGCCGGCAACCGAGGTGTCCTCCTCCCACTCAACGATGGAATACGGCGTGAAGGGATGGGGTACTGCGACATCTTCCTCCGAGGGCCCCACGGCGTGGCCCGACACAGGAGGCTCGGTGGCGGTCGTCGCTGACGATGGCTCCCCAGGTTCTTCGCTCTCGTCCTTTCCGACGGCCGGCGGGTCAGATGCCGGGACGCTCGCGGCCTCCGCAGACGCCCCTCCGTCGTCGACCCCGAGGCCGGGGTCGACGACGGACGGCCAGTTCCAAACGTTCTCCTCCGGCGCGTTGCTGCTCGTCTCGGCTCCCTGTGGCCACTCGTCGACGCTCGAGGGCTCGTGGAAGTCCTCCAGAGGGGCCGAAGTGACCGGTGAGTTCGCGGCGATTTCATTCTCGTCATCGTCGTCGCTGTCTGCACTCGACTGAGTAGACGGCTGTCCAGCCGATGGGACCGCGGGAGCTGGGGCGGTCTTTCCCGGCAGCTCATTCGACAGTGCGTTGTTTTCGTCCCCGGGAATTGGCCTTCCAAACGGGATGCCATCGCCCCTCTCCTCCTCCTCCTCCTCTTCCTCTTTGTCCTCAGCATGCGCGTGCGCGGGAAGCTTCGCGGCCGCGTTCGGGGACGTTCCGTGCGTAGAGGAGATGCTGGGCTCTGCTGCCGGAGTCGTTTCCGGCTCGCCGGGAACGGTGGTACCATCAACGCCGCCTTGCTCCCGGTCGGCGTGAGCAGTCGGCGCGGTGCCAGCGAGTCCGTCCGCCTCCTCTATAAAACCTTCATAGGCCTTCTCCTCTCCCCACTCGGCCGGCCGCTGGTCGTGGGCACCCGACGGTCCGTGCAGTGCTCCCTCCGCGAAAACGTCGTCCGACGTTTGGGGAGGGGGCTCGTTGGTTGAGCGCTCACCGTCGGCCCGCCCCTCCGTTTGCTCGCCCTCCGGGTACTGCTCGCCCGGTTGCTCTTTGTCGGGGATTTTGATCTGGGACAGGATGGGTGACACCGCCTCCTGGGGTTCGTTCCTGTTGCCATTGTTGCCGTTCGGCTCCATCGGCGCCGCGGGAACGGAGGTGGTGACCGACGCGATGAGGACCAGCGGCACGTTCGGCAGGGCCCCCTCTCCGCTCGACTCCTCCTCCTCGTCGGCGTGCGACCTGCCCCTCTCGGCGGGAGATTTGGCCGAGATGAAAAGGCCCTGCGGTGTCTCCGGCGTCAGCGAGGCTACCTCCAACGCCTGGGACGGCTCTCTGTCAAGGGCACCCACGTCCGTGTCATCAGCAGGTGCGGCGCCTTCCACCCCAGGCTCGACAAAAGGATCTTCGAGTTGCGGCGACGCCACCGTCCACGGCTCTCCACTGCCTTCGGGCGACGTCTCCACGTCACTTGCGGCCGTGGCGACGTCTGTTCCCTCGCCTCCCTCTGCCCCCGACTCTCCCGTGAAGTGCGGCCACTCTGCGCCAGATGCCTCCGATGCGGCTTCCGGATGAGGAGTGCCCATGATCCCGTCCTCTGGCAACGTCACCGCGGGTTTGCCTGTGGAGGCCTCGCTCGAAGCGTCATCATCGTTGTCGCCCCCCTCGCCCGTGTGCTTCTCGTCGGGCAGATCGGCCACAGGGGAGATGCGGGGACCCGGCTGCAGCTCAGGGAGACCGGACCACTCCGTCGATGTGACCTCCTGCTCCTGCTCCTCCTCCTGCTCCTCCCCGGACGGTGAAGTTGGCACCGGCTTCTCTTCTTCTTCTTCTTCGGAAGAAGAGTCGCCGCCGCTGCTTGCCGGCTCTGCGAGCAACGCGGGTGGCAGTGTGGCCACATCGCTGTTGAAGTCGACCCCCGCAGAAGCTTCTGGGGCAAGAGGCTCCACAGGGGTGGGAGGGGTTGCCAGGACAATGCTCTCTACGCCGTGCGAAGCCTCCAGAAGAGGAGACAGCTCCTCAGACTCCTTGGACTCTTCAGACTCCTCGGACTCCTTGGACGACGGGGGCTGAGATTCGGCCTCCTTGTCCGTCCCATCCACGTCTCCGGAACCTACGAAACAGTAAACGCCGATTCAACGTTCATCGGCGAATAAAAAGTGCGGTCGCGAACGAAATTTCAGAAGTGTCTACCCCCGCCTCTCCGTCTCGAGGTCGGCGTGTGAACCAACTGCAGGGCCTGCCATTCGTGGTGGCGCCGGGAGCCATTTATTTGGAGAGAGAACTGACAGCGCTTTGCAGAAGTAAAAAAAAATAATTCCCACATGGATTATGCGGAACCCCTCTCGGTCTTTCGGCTGACGGATTTAAACAAACAGCCGCCATGAGATGTGCCATGCGCGTTAATTAAAAATAATAACGAGCGGTCTTCCAAAGCCAAAAAAACAATAAGCGGGAAAAGATAAATAACAACCTCCCCCGTTTCCCCCCCACCCCGCCCACGCCCAGAAACTAAACCAAACCGAAGGATAACGCTCCCTCGCCAAACATTACAACGCCGCACCGACTCGTACCGCGTGTAGTTCGGGCAATGATGTCCGACGTTTCACTCCTTTTTCGGGAACAGGTCCCCGACAAAGTGGAGCGAATACATTGGACACGGTGCCCCTCCTATAAGCATCACGGTGCGAGAACGATGCAAGGGGGGGCGGCAGAGCCGAGTCGATCGCCGCGATGGATGCAGCGTGCTGTTGCTGAAATGCGGTCTTTTTTTGTTGTCGTTTGAACTTTTTTTTCGGAGGCAAGAGCTTTCGTGGTCCAATCAATTGTCACCGTACGTGCGGATGCAAAAGTTGACGGTCGGGCAAGCAGGTCGCAAGCCTACGCCGTGTGCGCCCATTCACGTTATGCAGTTCCCCCCAATCTAATTAAATGGCCCAATCTGTCACGCGTCTTGCCGGACGTCTAAAGGAGGTGGGCGTACCTAACCTACACTTTACCCAACCGCACATGACTAACTGTCACCACCACCATCATCATAAGAAGCCATGGTCAATCCACTGCTGGATAAACGTCCCCCCAAACCGCCGGCAACCTGTCCCTCCCCTGCGATGTGAAAATCCTCCCAGCAACCGCACCACTGTGACAGCCGCCCCACTGTGACAGCCGCCCTTGTTATTTGACAACGCCAGTTCTTTACTGTGGTGGAGGGGGGGGGGGCGGGAAGGGGCAGGTTAGAGGGTCGGGAGTGGGGGTGGCAGCGGTTACCTTCGGGGGCAGACTCTTGCAGGGTGCTGGGAAGTGTGGATGGCTCCTGAGCTTCGTCCGGAGACGTCTCGCTCCCGGCCGGCCCCTCTCCTGGCATCTCTACGCGAGTGACCGGCGAAGACGTGGCGCCAGACGGCGTGGGTTTGACGGCCACGGATGGCAACACCTGCACGAAGCCCTCGTCGATGTCCTGCGTCTCTGGTGGCGACGACGGATGGCGTGCCTCATCGTCGTCCACTGGCACCGCGGTCGACTCGGCGATGATGGCGTAACCGGCGTAGTCGTCTCGGCCGCGGTCCAGCAGCCGGGCCTGCGCCGCAATTTGCTCCTTCAGCGTGGGGAAGGCGCCGTGCATCTCGCCACTCGCTGGGGCCACCGCGGCGTGAGCACCGGCCGGCACCGTGGTGGGGTGATCGGCGTCGGAGCCTAGCGGCGCCTCCTCCGCGTCGGCGTCCGGCGCGGACCGTTCCGGTTCGTGCGATTCTTCCGAAAGTGCCGCTGCCGCCGTCGCCGCCGCCGCCGCTTCGGACGCGGGTGCCGGTGCCGGCCCCTCCTCTTCGTCCGCCTCGGGCTCCGCGGTTTGGACCACAACCGGTGGCGATATCGGCGCGGAGTCGACGTGGCCTCCCGAGCCTTCGGTCGTGTCGTCGTCGCTCGCGGTCACTGGCTCGGGCAGCCTCTGCGCGGTCGTCATCAGTGCCGACAGAGTCGGCGCCACCATCTCCTCCACGTGGCCCTTGGCCTCGTCTGGCAAGGGAGCGGGAGCAGCATCGCTGGAGTCATCCTCCTGCTGGTGCTCGGCGAGTGAGACGATGGCGTTTGACTCCTCCGGGGGCTCGGTTGTGGCGTCCCCGTCCACCGCTTCGACCGCGATGCCGCTACCTTCGCCGTCCGTGCTGGTGGCCGACGCCGGCAAGCTGGCATGCGAAGGCCCTGCCTTGACTTCCTCTTCCACCCCGGAGTCTTGGGAGATGAGTACGTCCGGCTGAGCGACTGGCGAGCCTTCACCGGGCGACTCTACTACCCCCACCACGTCCGAGGTTTCGGGAAGCTCCGCCGGAGTTGGCTCCTTGCCTCCTGGCGCTTCCACTTTCCCCGGAGCTTTGGCGGTCGTGGCTTCGACCTCGTGGTTTGCGAGGTCTACCTCCACGTGGCTGATGGCCTGCTCTGCCAACGCTGCCGAGGGAGTCGCCTCGGTGTGTTCGGGCGCGTCTGAAGATGAAGGAAGAGGAGGAGAAGATTCGTCATGGGATCGCTCCGTTTGAGTCGGCATGTCCACGAGGGCCGTTTCTGGGCGCGCGTCAGCCGCGAGGAGGATGCCGTGCCCGGGGGTCGACGTTTCGACTGGAGGTTCGGCCTCCACCGGCGTATCGCCCGCAATGACAATCTCCGAGATCGGCCCTGAATCAGGGGGTGAATCGTCGTCATCGGGTATTGGTGTCGTCTTCTCTTCTGATATTGGAAATGCTGGCTCTGAAGAAGGATTTTCGTCTTCCTTGTGACTTGGGACTTCATCATCGGGTGATGTTTTATCGTCCTCGGGTGTGGAAGGTGATGGTTCTGAGGGAAAAGGTTCTTGCCCATGATGTGCGCTGCCATCTTTGGGTGATGTCTTCTCCTCAAGTATCAGAGATGATGGCAAAGGCGGCGTGTAAGTTTCTTGTTCGTGTCTTGTGACCACATCTCCTGGCGATGTCTTCTCAGGTGTCAGAGGTGACAGTTCTTCAGGTGTGAGAGATGAAGCTTCTTCATGACCCATGACCTCACCTTCAGGAAATAACTTTTCAGGTGTCAAGGGTGATGGTTCTTCATGATTAATGATGACCACAGCTCCTGGTGATGTCTTCTCTGGTGTCAGAGGTAATAGTTCTTCAGGTATCTGAGATTGTTCATGACCCATGACCTCACCTTCAGGTGATGTCTTCTCAGGTGTCAGAGGTGACGGTTCTTCATGATCTTTGACGATATATTCTGGCAATGTCTTAAAAGGTGTCAGAAATGATGGTTCTTCAGGTGTCAGAGATGAAGCTTCTTCATGACCCTTGACCTCACCTTCATGTGATGTATTCTCAGGTGTCAGAGGTGACAGTTCTTCGTGATCAGTGACCACATGTTCTGGCGATGTTTTCTCAGGTGTCAGAGGTGATAGTTCTTCATGATCTGTGATGATATCTTCTGGCGATGTCTTCTCAGGTGTCAGGAACGACGGTTCTTCAGGTGTCAGAGATGAAGCTTCTTCATGACCCTTGACCTCACCTTCATGTGATGCCTTCTCAGGAGTCAGAGGTGATGGTTCGTCATGATCTTTGACCACATCTCCTGACAATGTCTTCTCAGGTGTCAGGAACGATGGTTCTTCAGGTGTCAGAGATGAAGCTTCTTCATGACCCCTGACCTCACCTTCAGGTGATGTCTTCTCAGGTGTCAGATGTGATGGTTCTTCCGGTGTCTGAGGTGCTGATTCTTCAGGTGTCAGAGAGGAAGCTTCTTCATGACCCATGACCTCACCTTCAGGTGATGCCTTCTCAGGTGTCAGAGGTGACAGTTCTTCATGATCTGCGACCACATCTTCTGGCGATGTCTTCTCAGATGTCAGAGGTGACGGTTCTTCATAATCTTTGACCACATCTCCTGGTGATGTCTTCTCAGATGTCAAGAACGACAGTTCTTCAGGTGTCAGAGATGAAGGTTCTTCATGATCTGTGACCACATCTTCTGGCGATGTCTTCTCAGGTGTCAGAGGTGACGGTTCTTTATGATCTGCGACCACATCTTCAGGTGATGTCTTCTCAGGTGTGAGGAATGACGGTGCTTCAGGTGTCACAGATGAAGGTTCTTCATGACCCGTGAGCTCACCTTCTGGCGATGTCTTCTCAGGTGTCAGATGTGATGGTTCTTTATAATCTTTGACCACATCTCCTGGTGATGTCTTCTCAGATGTCAGGAACGACAGTTCTTCAGGTGTCAGAGATGAAGGTTCTTCTTGATCTGTGACCTCACCTTCAAGTGATGTCTTATCAGGTGTCAGAGATGAAGCTTCTTCATGATCTGTGACCACATCTTCTGGCAATGTCTTCTCAGGTGTCAGGAATGACGGTGCTTCAGGTGTCACAGATGAAGGTTCTTCATGACCCCTGACCTCACCTTCAGGTGATGTCTTCTCAGGTGTCAGATGTGATGGTTCTTCATGATCTGTGACCACATCTTCAGGCGATATCTTCTCAGGTGTGAGGAATGACGGTGCTTCAGGTGTTACAGATGAAGGTTCTTCATGACCCGTGAGCTCACCTTCTGGCGATGTCTTCTCAGGTGTCAGATGTGATGGTTCTTTATAATCTTTGACCACATCTCCTGGTGATGCCTTCTCAGATGTCAGGAACGACAGTTCTTCAGGTGTCAGAGATGAAGGTTCTTCATGATCTGTGACCACATCTTCTGGTGATGTCTTCTCAGGTGTCAGGAATGACGGTGCTTCAGGTGTCACAGAGGAAGGTTCTTCATGACCCGTGACCTCACCTTCAGGTGATGTCTTATCAGGTGTCAGAGGTGACGGTTCTTCATGATTTGTGACCACATCTGGCGATGTCTTCTCAGGAGTCAGATGCGATGGTTCTTCAGGTGTCTGACATGCCAATTCTTCAGGTGTCAGAGAGGAAGGTTCTTCATGACCCATGACCTCACCTTCAGGTGATGTCTTATCAGGTGTCAGAGGTGATGGTTCTTCATTATCTGTGACCACATCTGGCGATGTCTTCTCATGTGTCAGATGCGATGGTTCTTCAGGTGTCTGAGATGCCGATTCTTCGGGTGCAGGAGATGAAGTTTCTTCATGATCTGCGACCACGTCTCCCGGCGAAGTCTCCTCAGGTGTCGCGGACGACAGTTCTTCATGACCAGTTAGCACGACTTCAGGTGATTTCTCCTCCTCATCCTCCTCCTTGGGTAAAGGAGATGATGGCTCTGAAGTAGGAGAATGTTCTTCTTCATGACCTGTGACCTCATCTCGTGGCGACGTTGCCTCCTTCCCTTGCTGCTGCTGCTCGACCATGAGTGGCGGTGCTTGGGCCTGCACGCTGGTTTCTTCCTTCACCTCCTCTACCTCCTCCTTCGAGGAGGAGCTCATCGGCGGTGTCACCTCCTCGCCTTGGTCGGGGTCGCTCGCGAGCTGAGCAGGAGGAGTTGGAGGGGCCACGTTGTGGGCCTGCTGCGCCTCCTTGGCCCGAGAGGCCAGCGCTGGATCCGGCAGAGCGGGCTGGTTTCCTGACGCGCATTTGGAACGCGGCATTAGTTCGACGAGGCGGGGGGGCGGATGCATTAACTTGTGATTATTTACCCACTTCTTGTCGTTGTTTATTTACTGCAAAACTATTTACCCACTTTGAAATTGCAAGTTACGCGGTGATACTGTGCTCGGCAGTGCCACGCGAGCGCAAAATACGCAGGCGCTGCTCGCTAACAACACTTGCCCCAAACCGACTGTTAATGCTATGTGGGGGGAATCTTTTCCCCCTAAACGCTCACACACACACACGCTCACACACACGCACGCTCACACACACGCACGCTCACACACACGCACGCTCACACGCTCACACACACACACACGCTCACACACACACACGCTCACACACACACACGCTCACACACACACACACACGCTCACACGCGCGACACGCCTCACCTCTGTAGCAGTAGGCGTCGAAGCGCGAGTTGGGGCCGGGGAAGCCCGTCTGGTTGGCGTAGCGGTACTTGGTGCGGACGCCCGGCACGGGCCCGCCGCAGTTCTGCCGCGGCCACACGATGGGGTAGCGCGCGCTGCCGTCTGCCAGCCAGCCCTCGTCGCAGCGGTCGAGGCCCGCGAACTTCCATGCGGCGTACAGCTGCCCCACGGTGGCCAGGCCACCGCCGAGGGCCTCGCACACGCTGCGGGCCTCGCTCAGGGTCAGGCGGCCCGGGGAGGTCGTGTGGAACACCTCGACTGGGAGGGGCGGGACGGGGTGGGAGAGCGTGAGCGTCGATGCGCGGCGCCGTGTGTTTAGGGAGAGCGGTGGTGCAGCGGGTAGCGCAACGCTGCGCCACGAACCCGGCGGCCAGTGCCGGATTATCCCAGCAGCACAAGTATCTGCATATGCTACGGGCCCCGCACTTTCAAGGGCCCCGCGCTAAACGCTTTCAAGCTATCAATTCCGGATCAGTGATTCTGCACTTGCTCTATTACTATAGTACTTATACTGCCTTCAATTTGTATGAACGACTGGGTGTTTAAGGTTAGCGAATTGTTGTATTATCTGGCTGTATCGCAAATGAAAAAATGACAAATAATTTACCGTGCAAGTAAAAAAATGTGTGTTTATGTATATTTTTATATTTATGTATATATATTTTTTATTTAGGGCCTATTGATCACATATGCTACAGGCCCCGCACAAGCTTAATCCGGCACTGCCGGCGGCCCGAGTTCGATCGCCGCTCACGGTCACGGACGCCAGTGACGGTTATCTGAACCGGTCTTGGGCCTTCCCCTAGGTCGACTCAGCCTCAAATGAGCACCTGGCGAGATGCGTAGGCAAAGGCGGCCAGGCGTGGGTGTTGGACACCCACCCCCTCGCGTGCCATTCCGGCCTTCATAGGTGCTCGCGAACAGCACTTGCCCCAAGAGGCTGTTTAAGTTATACCGGGGATCTTTGTCTCCTATCGTCATGTGTGTGTGTGGAGTGATGAGTGTGTGTAGGTGAGGCGAGAGCGAGTGAAAGTAAGTGGAGGAGGTTCGTGAAGGACTCTACTGGGCAGTTGCAGTCAGTCGCCCTCCAACAACAACAACGGAGGACAAAGGATCCACGCTCACAACAATGAGTGGAGCACTGTGCCAACTCACTGCATAAAATGCAGCGAGTTGACACAGTAGGGGGGGGCACAGAAGGTGCATCTACCCAGTCATCTCAGTCGGTCAACACCATGGCATCTGCTGGGTCTGTTCCCGTGACCTCCTCCTGACAACAGCGCGCCTTCAACACTTGAAGCGATATACTCAAAGCGCACCTATCCTGGTACAAGCGCCGTGGTGACTTCACCGCCTGCCGTCGTTACGGGCTGCGGGAGAGTGACGTTGCCCTTCCTCCGCACCCGTGATTATTAGCACGGTCGGCCAAGCACGGCGTGACAGAAGTTGAACCCACGCGTACGTGGGGGGGGGGCGCGCACAAACCTGCGAGCCTCTCGGTGAAGCAGTATGCGTCGTACGTCTCGTGCGCGGCGCGCTCTCCGTACGAGCGCACGCCCGGGTTGCCGTTCTTGTCCGCGTAGCAGCCGGGCCTCGGCCGGATGATGGGATACCTGCGAGAGGCGGGTGGCAACGGGGAAGGGGGGGGGGGGTTGAGGGCGCCAGGGAGAACAGCAACGAGCAACGGGCGCCGGATTGGAGATCGAGAGACCAGCGGAAAAGGGAGACGGCGGGGAGGGAGTTCCAGAGCCGAGCGATGCTCGGAGAGAGGCATGATGAGCGGCGTGGCTCATCATGCCGGGCGTAGGTGAGAGACACGTGGCTGAACATGTGACGAGACAGGGGAGAGAGACACGCGGCATTGCGGGCGAAGGACATGCCACGTGGTTTTGCAGGCGAGGGACGCGTGACTTTGCAGACTAAGGGCATGCCGCGTGGCTTTGCAGGTGGCGCTAGGTCAGAGGCACGCGGCATTGCGGGCGGGCGGGGGGGGGCGAAGCGCAGGCGAGTTGAGAGACGCGCGACTCTGCCAGCCGAGCGACCCGTCGCCAATGTCCGGACGGGCGGCGCGCCGTGGCGCAGAGTCTCTCACCGCACGCTCTGGTCGGAGAGCCATCCGGCGTCGCACTGGTCCATGCCGTCCTCGTACGCGGCCTGCAGCTGCTGCGGCGAGGCGAGACGCGCCCCGTTCTGGGCGCACGCCGCCTGAGCGCTCGCGAAGTCCAGGGTGTAGCGGCTCTGCGCCGAGCGGTAGTGGAACACCACACCTGGCGCGGTGGGGGAGACACGGGGGGGGGGGGGGGGAGACGACAGCGGCTTGCTTCGTTCCAGCCGGAGCTGTCCCGGGGAAGCGCTCTGGACAATGTTGTCCCACCCCGCCTTTCGTCGCAGGTGTGGGGGGGGGGGAGTTGGGTGTGCAGGGTGGGGGAAAGGGAGAGACTTTGCATCACGGTGGCTAGGAGATGTTAACTACTTCGCCTGGTATGCAGGAGGTCGTGGGTTAGATCCCGACCCTGACGCCTGCTCTATATTTTGAGTTTACGTCTCTCTCTCTCATCATCATCACGGTGGCTAGGATATGTTAACTACCTCGCCCGGTGTACAGGAGGTCGTGGTTTCGATCCCGACCCTGACGCCTGCTGCTGTATATTTTGAGTTTGCGTGTCTCTCTCTCTCTCTCTTTCCCCATGGTCGCGTAGATTTTTATTCGGGTCCTCTGGTTTTTCTCTCCACATTTTATAATCAACATCACCACACGTTTAGAGTATTCGGCTGCTGTAAATGTCCACGTGATGTGCCCGCTTCGTCGAGCAATCATTTGTGGCCAGGTCGCTTCTGAAATAGAGCTACGTCGCTAAGCGGTGAAAAATAAAATGCTGCCCTCTGCCTTTCCCCGTTGGTGTGGGAGAAATGGTATGATGATTGGGGGGGGGGGGGAGAGTGGGAGAGGGGGGAGGGGTAGTTGGGTGTGCGGGTGGGGGGTCCGGAAGGATGGGGGCTCGGAAAATATTCTATGATAACAGAAACATGAAGTGGTGCTGGTGAGACGAGAGTGCGGAAGGGCAGGGGAAGAGGGGAGACAGCCATGGGGAGGAGATGTAAGAGAGTGAGAGAGAGAGAGGATTGGAGATTGGAGGGGGAGAGAGTTGAGAGGGAGGGACATAGCATCGAGTCGTAAGAGAGAGGAGAGTGGTGGGGATAGAGGGGAGAGAGATATGTGGGAGAGGGAGGATAGAGGAAAGAGATGTAAGAGTGAGAGAGGGGGGGAAGGATGGATGGATGGATGGAGAGGAAAGAGATGGAGGAGAGAAGCGAGCTATAGAGAGAGAGAGGTAGATGGGAAGGACCGAGCGTGAGAGGGAGATTGTTATGTTAAAGGGTAAGACAAGGTACATAGTAACGACTATTGATGATGACGATAATGACGACGGCGATGATGGTGACGACATCGACGACGACAATTGCTCGTGGGGTGACGACGACGACGACCGCCACACCGCCTCACCATCCACCAGCAGCTCCACCACGTCCCTCTCGTCGTCCATGCCGGCCATCACCTCGCAGCGATACGTGCCGCGATCGGAGTCGCGCAGGAGCGAGATTTCCAGCGAGGCGTCTCCGCTCGCTCCGTCTCCGCTCGCCGCGTCTCCGCCACCGTGGGGCGCCAGGAACCGCGGCAGGGAGACGCGGTTCTCGAACCCGGGTCCCGGGCGCGAGTGGAGGTTCTGCGAGACGATCACGTCCGCCCAGTTTCCGTCGGCGCCCAACTTGCTCCACTTGACACGCGGTCGCGAGTGTGTGCCAGCCGGCGTCGGTGGCACGGTGCCTCGGTCGACGTGGTCGTCCCGGTGGTGGTGGTGGTGCTTGTGGTGGTGGTGGTTGTTGTGGTCACGGTCGGGAGGAGGGTGGCTCGCCGCCACCTCCTCCTCGTCGTCGGGGTTGTGCGCGTAGCTGCAGGGGAGGGTCACCGTCCCCGCGAGGACGCCGTGCACCGGCGCTTGCCGGGCCGCGCGAACCTTCATGGCCTTCGGTGTGGGCACGTGGCCCGAGGCTGCAGGAGAAAGGGGGCGATGGTGGTGAGACGAATATGATGATGATGAGGATGATGGTGGTGGCGGGCGTCGTCATCAGAAGCGGGAGCAACGTCAGCAGAAGCAACAACCGTGGCGGTGGCGGAAGCAGCAAAAATCATAAACGCCATCAGCCGTAGAGGAATCATTTGCAGCAACTTTAACGTCAAAAGCATCATCGTCGGTATCACCAGTAACATGTTCGTAATGGTCTTAATAATCACCATCAAGGTTTCCATCCATCACCATCGTAGCACGTGTTAACACAGACCGTTGTGTTATCCGCCTCGCCTTTCAGTCGTCATCAGCGTTCTCTGTTTACGAAGTCGAATTGAGTCAATGATGATAATGATGACGACTATCATTATTATCATCATCATCATCAACTACGATGAAAACAAGTTGAATCGAGGTCGTGATGCTAATGATGAAGACCAATGACCATAATCATCGATGACAGAATGGGCGGATCTCACGGATTACAAATTGATTGATGGCGTAGTGATGATGCTGATGATGATGATGATGGAGTGTATCACCACGGCACAGAGACAGCGATTTCGGTATCAACGAGACTCCCATTTTGTCTGGCCGGAATCGAGGAGATGATGATGAAAAAAAAAACTAAGGACCTTAACACCTGCACCATTGCCGGCAATGGTTACAGCCTATTCTTCTTCTTCTTCTCATCAGCGATGTCTGCGTGCCGATGACCGATGAGCGAGTGACGTGCGCCCGGCCACCGCGCCACGTGTTTTGCAATCAGCCCCGCAAAGCCGACCGCTCAGCGTTCGTCAAACTCGTGGGTTGGCGTCAGCTCGTGCGTGCGCACGCGCCTCCCTCTGCTTCCCGGCAGCAACAAATACAAAAAAGCACCGCAACGTTGCCACGACGTTGCCGTGACGTGTTGCCACGCTCGGGTCGACGCACAACAACTCCGAGCGCGAGCGGTGGTGCAGCGGTCAGCGCCGCGCTGCGCGCTACGAACGCCGGCGACCCGGGTTCGATTCCCGCTCACGGCCAACACCCAGTGGCGATTATCTGAGCCGGTTCACGGGACTTCCCTAGGTCGACTCAGCCTCAAGTGAGTACCTGGTGCGGTGTGTGAACATCGCCACTGGGGAGACAAAGGCGGCCGGGCGTGGTGTTGGCCCCACACACGAGGGGGTGTTGACCCACCCCCTCGTGTGCCGTGCCGGCCTTTATAGGTGCTCGCGAACAGCACTTGCCCCTACAGTCTGTTAAGGCTACACGGGGGGTCTTTGTCTTTGTATACGCCGCGCTGTACGCGTTCCGGATGCGGTGGCGCGCGGCGATCCGCGCGACAGAGTCACGGCGAGCCCCGGCGAGCCGAGTTCGATTCCCGCTCACGGCCAACACCGGCGACGAAGTCTATGGACACGTCTGGGGCCTCCTCTAGGTGAAAAAAAAGCAGTGTCTGGTGCGGTGTGTGGTGAGCATCGGATAATTGGGGAGACAAAGGCGGCATTTGCGTGGTGTTGAACCACCACACAACCGCGTTTGCCGCGCCTTCATTACGTTGCCACGAGCTAACAGCACTTGCCCCAATAGGCTACACGGGGGGATCTTTGTCAATGTAGTTGTGTGCCCCTCCCCCCCTGCTCCACCGCCTACCCCCCCCCCTCCCCTCCCAAAATAATTTTCGCCGCTCGTTTGTGAGCACGCGCGTAATGCGCCAGCTGTTTCAACAACAGCAGCCCCGGAGCGACGCGTGTCACGGGCGCGTGCGCGCGCGCATGCCTCTCATCTCATGCCAATGCGGCCGCGTCAGCTTGCCGCCGAGTAAAGCGATCGCGACCACGAGGCGGAGGCTGGCGCTCCTTAGGAGTTTCGAGTAACAGCAGCGGGACGAGGGGATGCCGCCGGTGTGAATGGGTTCTCAGCAGCAGCACCAGTAGCAGCAGCACCACCAGCACCACCACCACCACCAGCACCACCAGCAGCAGCACCACCAGCAGCAGCAGCACCACCACCACCAGCACCACCACCAGCAGCAGCACCACCACCACCACCAGCAGCACCAGCAGCAGCAGCACCACCAGCAGCAGCAGCACCACCACCAGCAGCAGCACCACTACCACCAGCAGCAGCACCACCAGCAGCAGCAGCAGCACCACTACCACCAGCAGCATCACCAGCAGCAGCACCACCAGCAGCAGCACCACAACCACCAGCAGCAGCAGCACCACCATCAGCAGCAGCACCACCACCACCAGCAGCAGCACCACCACCAGCACCACCACCAGCACCACGACCAGCACCAGCACCACCATCACCACCAGCACCACCACCAGCACCAGCACCACCAGCACCACCACCAGCAGCAGCAGCAGTACCACCACGCTGGGCTTCCAATGCACAAAGGTCGCCCAGCGCACCCATTCAAATAGCCGACGCAGCCGGTTGCAAAGTGCTGGGGCAGGTTTCTTCAAATCCTCCCTCCTCCGCCTTTGTGTCTCACCCGCACTCATGACAACAAAGACAAAGATTCCCCATATAGCCTTAACAGACTGGAGGTGCAAGTGCTGTTAGCGAGCACCCCTTCCCTCCCCCCCCCCGTCCCGTTATTTCTTTAAATGGTGACATTTAAATAAATAAATAGATTTAAACCAAACTTCTCAACAACAACAACAACAATAATCATTGTGATGATGATGAAGAAATAATAATTGCCAGAATGCTCCGACGGCCAATTACGCAATTTGCGAAACGCGGCGGCAGGCGGTGCGAGCGGTGACGTCGCACTGCGGTGACGACGTCACAGTCGCTCCGCGTGACCAGCCTCGCTCGCGCCCAGGCACGCGCGCGCGCACGTGCGCACACAGCCCCACCCCCTCCCGTATGCGTGCACACGTGACGGCCGAAACATAAACAAAAGTTTGCCTCTGCCTTAAACGGGCTGATGGGGCTTGACGGGTGGGGTGGTGGTGTGGTTACCACCACGATCGATTCGATGGACGTGTCGTTCGGTGCGGGGAATCGATTTTTAATCGACGCCATCGTAACATCCTTGATGCTTACACGTGATGTCTGCCATACCTTTCAGACAATGGTGCCTCGTGTAGCCAATGGAGTGCCGTTAGCGAGCGCCTATTAAGGATGGCGCGGCACACGAGGCGATTGATTCTGCGTGGACCATCACCACGCCCGGCCGCCTTTGTCTTCCCGGCACTGATGTTTAACACACCGCGGCAGCTACAAATATAAAGAACCCCCCCACCCCCCGTATAGCCTTAACGGACTGTTGGGGCAAGTGCTGTTAGCGAGCACCTAATGAAGGCGCCAGGTACACACACGCACACACGCGCACACGCATACACACAACTCAATGCAACACGCGCAGACGCACGTGCTTCCTCACGCGGAACGGGCGCATCTCACCGGCCGTGGCAGCGACGTTGAAGATGACCACGCCGACGGTGGCGACGGCGACGATGAGGGCGGCAGAGGAGCGGGTCCGGCCGCTCGAGCCGTGGGGGGAATGGAGAGGCTTCATCCCGGGACCCGCGATCCGAAAGCCTGAATTGGAGCAAAAAAAAAGTACGGAAGAAGGCAACGTTTTATTTCACGTTTATAGCTCTGGGTGGAAATGTCCACCTTACGTGGCGTGGACGGGGACGAGTCTCTTTATAGGACAACCGCTCTTGAGTTTCCCGCAAAGTGGTACGAATTTTATCGACCCCACGAGGATGACGGTCTGGGTCCATCCCTAACCAGGATTCGACTTGTCAACATTCCGATTGCGTTATTTAAAAACCACGCGCTGCCATTTACATCCGCAGAGTTGGGATTTCTTATTGAAAAAACGGCGATAAGAAGACAGCAATCAGCGCATGGTACCCGCGAGGGCACCGATCAGACACAGGAAACGTGGAGACCGACAAACGTTGAGCTAGACCTGAAATGTGCCCAAAGAAGCATGGAGATAGACAGAGGTGGGTGGGTGCTGGGAATGACACGGATAGACAGACAGAGAGAGAGAGTGGTGGGAGGGTGCTGGGAATGAGACCATGAGACAGAGAGAGAGAGAGAGGTGGGTACTGGGAATGTCACCATGAGACAGAGAGAGAGGTGGTTACTGGGAATGTCACCGTGAGACAGAGAGAGAGAGAGGTGGGTGGGTGCTGGGAACGACACACACGCAGGTTAACATTATTTAAACTGTTATTACGAGTGGGGGAAAAAACACGTTCCTGATGGCAGATTGACGAGTCTGTTGCGTGCACGCGTGCGTGTGCGTGCACGCGTGCGTGTGCGTGCACGCGTGTGCGTGCACGCGTGCGTGTGCGTGCACGCGTGCGTGTGCGTGCACGCGTGCGTGCACGCGTGCGTGTGCGTGCACGCGTGCGTGTGCGGGTATGGGGAGCGGCGGTGCAGCGGATGGCGCTACGCTGCGCTACGAACCCGGCGCCCGGAGTTCGATTCCCGCTCACGGCCAACACCGGTGACGATTATCCGAACCGGTCCTGGGTCTCCCCTAGGTCGACTCAGCGTTAAATGAGAACCTGGCGTGGCGTGAAAATATCAGCGGTAGGGAGACAAGGGGTGGTCAGTCGTGGTACTGGCCACCCCACACCCAACCACCTCATCCCTTCCTGCTCCGTAACAACCTCAATAGGTGCACGCTGACAACATTTTTGCCATGTAGGCTATCGCTGCACAGGATATGCGAGTCTCTCTCTGTGTGTGTGAGTGAGTCTGTGCGTGTGCGCGCATGTGTTAGTGATATATGTGCGCGCATGTGTTTGGACAAATATGTGACCTCTATAACGAGGTAAGAGCCCATTTGAGACCACGAAACATGCAGCGGGGTAATTAGCGCCAACTCTGACTCTAGGCAAAACACGACGCTTGCTTATGCGCAAATAATTTTGTATTCTTAAAAAAATATTTCCCCCCCCCCCCCCCGAAAAATTAAAAAGTTATGTTTCTCACCACTGCCAGGGCGGGGTGCGCGTGTGTGCTTGGGTGTGCGCGCGTGCCGTGCGTGTCGGGGGAGTGGTGGCGCAGCGGTTGCGGCGCTGCGCTACGAACCAACCCGGCGACCCCGAGGTTCGACGCCGGCTCACGGCCACCAACACCCGTGACGATTATCTGAACCTGGTTCCCCGGGGCATTAAAACAAAAGAGACACATTCATTTCGTGTTGTGCCATCAACCAGCCGAATCTCCTTCGAGGACGTTCGGGCCCGACCAGCAGAACGAGGAGGAAGAGGAGGATCAGGAGGATCAGGAGGATCAGGAGGAGGTTTTAGGCCGCGCAACAATGAAACGCGGACGCAGCAAGCTGCGGCACGTTGTTCCCGACGCTTAGGGGATCTGGTGGTAATTGCGCTGATGTAAACTTTGTACCCCCCCCCTTCCTGATCACTCCCCTCCTCCTTACTCCCCCCCCCCCACATCTGTGCCCAATGAACAAACCAACGGTGGGGGGGGGGAGCGGTAGGATAAGCGGATAGATTTCATCTCGGCCCCATTATTAAACAAAATTGCGCTTGTTTCCGTCGCCCTCCGTCCGTGTCGCGTTTCAAGAGGAATGGTGACGGTCAGCCCAGACGCGACCCTGGGAGAAGAGGATGAGGATGAGGAGAGAAATGTCGGGGAGGGGAGAGGAGGGGGGGGGGGGGTATAGCTATCAAGTGTGCAGGCGGTGCATCTGCACTGGGGAACAAGTGGGGGAAATTTGTCCAGCTCATCGTGAATTCCCTGTACATGACAGCCACACGACCTCACTGTGTGGTGAGAGTTTGGGGAGGAGCGGGAGGGCGATGCGGAGCTGGTGAGTTATGGGGAGGGGCCGGGGGGGGGGTGCATGCACACGAGTAAACCAAAACTGATTTGCCACAAAGTTTAGCAGCGTGCATTGTTTATACTGCGGGGCGATGCGGTGGACAGCTGATGGCAGTGAATCAAAATCCATTGTTGTATTTTACTAGGCCCCACCGCCTATGGCTTCCCAGGCCCTTCACCAACCAGCACTGACCGTCGTGGTGAAGTATGGTCAGATAACCCCCTCCCCCCACGTTCCCCCATGACCCGCAGCAACGGCGTGGGGAGGCAACTTATCCAGCAGTGAGTTGGCAAGAGCGCTGTGCACGAACACGCGAACACACGCGCGTGAGTGTCGATAGAAAGGGGGCAAGGACATTGAATGGAAGTCAAATTTGGAAATTATGCAAAAAAATATAATTTGCAAGTAATTAACATAAAGGGCGCACGTGTTGGAGCCAATTTTGTGTTTTGTTACAGAGAATAATTATAACCTTTAATAATTAATGATTTGGAGGTGACCGGGTGGCTCAGAGGTCAGAGCGCTGAGCCAGCACCGTTGAGAACCTGGGTTCGAATTCAGGTTCCAGCCGCTGCCTGTGGTGTAACCGGGTCACCGATTGTCGTGAGTCGATGGTCACCAATGACTGCACACAAACGATAATTATCTTACATTTGGTTCTGCGACTAAGACGAACTTTGTAAAGTGCTGCCCCCTAGCGTGTGGATCGGGGGTCACTTGGTGGGCTCTCGGATGTAGTTTCGTGTCCTCCGCGAGCCGTTCTTTTACGCGCGGCGTTGCACTCACACTTCCGTGAGAGTTCCAAACGGATTGTTCGTCACGTGACGCTGATAGCACAGGTACAACGAACATCCTAAGCATGAAATGGCTTTAACAACCTCAAAAATAATAACGTAATATTTAGTCAAATTCATACAGAGGAATTCGCCGTTGTGCTGTGTATCTCGCCGATGGTTGTACCGCGTGCGTGTTTGGCACGGTGTCCGACGCTTCGCTCCAGGTGCCGAACAACACGCGGTACAACCCCGACCACACTATCAGAGGTTATTATTAAAATACATTTTTTTTTGTAACGTTGCAAATTGCCGGGTGGCGTTTTTGCCACGTTTGGTCGTTCAATTGCTTGCACGCTGGAAGTTGCTGCTCTTCGATCGATCGCTGTGCTGGTCATTATTTAACGTCACGTCTGTCCTGAACGCTAAACTCCCTGATATCAATCTGTAGGAATGTACACGTTTATATCAATGTATGACTTTCAAAAGGCATAGGCCCAACATGTAAATCAATGGCACTATAATAATAAAACATTCGTAACATTGCGTAAGAATAAATGTGTCGTTAATCCCGCCACCACTCGACACAGCTAATTAGTGAGGTTTGTCGCCAAAACCAAGACGTGCCAATTAGTTACTAGTTCAGCGGACCGGTGTGTTGGAGACTAAACCCATAACATTCACAATTCGAGCACTCTAACGTTTCGCTGGTGAGTATAACAACTACCAGCTTCATCAGGCGATTGGCGATAATTGTGAAGACGTCTTCCTGTGGACCTGCTTGCGACTGAGTCTCGAGATGCACGCAGCTGCTAAAGTTATTAATTAATTGCACCCAAGCCATCGGCACACAAGAAACGGCCAGCTCCTAACAAGAGCTGTGAAATAGTCAGAGCTCTCATTGTTCCTTACATTCCACGCAAGTGGCCAATTCGAGAGATTTTCTCTGGGTCATATCAACAGAGCTCTCAATGTTCGTTACATTCCACGCAAGTGGCCAATTCGAGAGATTTTCTCTGGGTCGTATCAACAGAGCTCTCAATGTTCGTTACATTCCACGCAAGTGGCCAATTCGAGAGATCATCCTGGGGTCGTATCAACAGAGCTCTCATTGTTCGTTACATTCCAAGCAAGTGGCCAATTCGAGAGATGGTCCCTGGGTCGCATCAACAGTGCTCCCATTGTTCGCGTTTAGCCAACAACAAAAAAAATCACTAGAAAATTAGACAGGAAAATTATTCCAATTTAGAGGCTTTGAATGCTGCAAGCTCTACGGGCAATTTACGTATTATTTTAAAGGGGCCGCGTGGCACGTGGGTGGGAGCACTGGGAATTTGCGGTGAGCATAATAAGCATCCTTAGTGGAGGTACAATGGGTTATTAATCCGTGCGATCTGAGGCCGAATCCCGGCCAGGGCTCGTGCCGGTGCCGACTGTTATCTGAACCGATGCTGCGTAAACACCCCCCCCCTCTCACCCCCCGTCGCCCCACCCACCTTCACCATACCACGCTGACCCCATATAGCATGCATGGTGACATATGATCAAGCAACCCTAAATGTATATTATATCTATATTTTGAATGTTACCAGGTAAGGGTCCGCTGAGCTACATAGCTCTTTTTCAGAAGCGACCTGGATATCACAAGTGGTAGCTCAACGAAGTGGCTTATCGTGTGGACATTAATAGCAAGCCAAATACTCTAAACGCGTGATGTTGATTCTAAATGGTGGAAAGGGAAAAAAAAACGGGAGGTCCCGGAGAAAAATCCACGCGACCACGGGGAGAGAGAGAGAGAGACACGCAAACTCCAATTATACAGCAGCAGGCGTCAGGGTCGAACCCACGACCTGTTGTGTTGTACACGAGGCGAGGTCGGTAACATGACGAGAGTGGATTAACACAGTGGCAGTGAATAGAAGTAACTGGGATGTGAGGTAGCTAGCAGATGGCAG